AGAAAACTGTAAATCTATAGTTTTTTTTAGCTCGTCTGGTCCAAAAGACCATGGTGTGGCATTTGTCGTCTGGCATCTTGCATCCAGTGTCTGGCATTAAGATTTTGTTTTCAATCTGTCAACTGTTTCTAAAAATCCCTACCTTTCATAAACAATGACATGAACCCATCCCCCCACGGTCTGAGAGGTTGTGCACAAAGGGGGAAATTTAGACTCTAGAATCCTACTTCTCCTATAGGAATGATTGTATTTCGCCAAAATGTTGTCTAAAACATTTTTGCTCATGTAAAGAGAAATTAATTTTGTGTAAACTATGGGTTTTGGCCCCCTGTGGCAGGAGGGATGGCCTTTAACTATATTTAAAAGTGAAGAGCATCATGATGAAAGAATTGATCCTTGGGTGTTGCACACCTTTTGGGACTTTATTTCTGGGTCATATTTTTGAAACACTTGAGATCTAAACCTGATAACCATATAAACTCTTTCTGGATATTAAAAGAGAAAGGCAGGCGTGATATAAGAATTTACCGATTGGTTTCACCCTGCTAAAGAGGTTAAGTTACTGAGTTGTAATTTGGAAATATTTGAAATACCTAACCTAAAATTATGTATCCAAGTGCTAGGCTTTCAGATCCAGGTGAGCAATACAGGCTCTATGGGCTGCTTGTTTTTTTATTCCATTGCCTTTAGACCTTTATCAGTAACAATGCTACTGAGGCTGCAAAGTTTGTGCGACAAGTCTGTGATATCAGTGAAAAATCATCTCCTGCCTGGAAAGATGGAAGTTGGAGAGTGAGAACATGGATAGCAGAGGAGTGCAGTGAGGTAAAATATTTTGATGATTATATATAAATGATTAATATTGTGTTTTTAGTTTTTTATCATTTACAAGTATATCATTATTTAGAATTTAGTATATCAGTTATTTCTGGTTCAGTGACTACTCTGATACGAAACCTTATAGAACACAGAACATGTACTTTAATTATACCAGGTCAGATAGTCTGTTGGAATCAAACGTATTATTTCATAGTCGTTGGTAAAAATATACAGATAATATTTATTGCAAATTGTGTGGTTTTTCTGTCTCAGAAGTTATGTGATAAAGATTTTCCATTACTTTACTGATCTGCTATCAGATTTACTTCTCAAAACAGTTTACAATCTTTACAAAAAAAAGAAGAGAAAATATTTATGATGCACAATTAATGTCAAACTTTTGTGTTTACTATTGACAGGAAGAGAAAACATTGCTGTCTTTCCCATGTTTTAACTCATTTAGGTATGACTGAAGGGTTTGTTTGATATTTTGTTTATTTTTGAAAGTTACGTAATGAACCAGGAAGTTAATTAAGCTGGAGTGAACACCTGTCATCTAGTCTTTGCTGGGAAGCATGTTACAAATTTTCTTTCAAACAAGTTCTTGTTTAATTAGACCCATGTCTTTATTGAGAATCTGAAGCAGCTTATAGACACAAGGAATACTTGACATGGTTTTGTTTTCTGTTTAGTTGTCATCTAATTTTAGGGTCATATATATTAAGATGATAGCGCTGCTTTCACTTAGTTGTTTCAGTTGTAAGTGAAGAAGATTAAAATTGTAAACAACCTACCATAAATTCAAGTTTTTATGTGAAGATCAATATTTTCCAAGTGACTCCAACGATTAAGATTAGATTTAGTACATTTTTTACATTGAATGAAATTTTATCATTATATTGCTTTTGAAAGTGAGAATTCATATATTATCTAAATTCAAATATTATTCCATTTGTGGAACAAAAAGTCTTAATATCATAAGATTATTAAAGAATGCATGTTTCCATAACAACCAGTGTGAATATATGATAATTCTTTAGTTTGATTTGAACTTTTGTTTAGTCACTGTAATCATCTGTTACTTCTGTTGATCTCAGTATCACTTTCTGATTTTTTTATTCTGTATGATATGAATGATGATATTATCCTTGAAACCTGTTTTTTTTTTATCTTTATCAATGAGTGTGCGCTTCTATAACAGTCTAAAGACTAGCTGCATTGTTTCATCCTCAAAGTAATGCATACACTCTATCACATTCCGTGGGTCAGCACACACAGTGAGATCAAAATAAATAGAGCAAACCCCTTGTAGATATGGAAAAATGATACAGAAAATGAAAAGAACACCATTTATGACATTGTAAAATTGATATCGATGGAATTGTTTGATGCTGTAACACAGTTTAATGTTATAGTTAACAAATATATGTAGTAGCTCTTGAGTTAGTGAATCCCTTGATTTGGGGTGATTTTGTGGTTAATGATGTAGCTAACAAAATTTGGCATTAGAACTGGGATGACATTTTTCATAATGAAAAATAATAATGAAATAAAACATCTTAATAAAAAAACTATATACAGTGTAATTTACAAGATACATATTACTTACTAATAATGTGCTTTAGATTTTCATGGTGTTTAATAGTAGTATTTAGGAATTGAATTCAGATAGATTGTTTAGAACTTGGGACAAAAATAGCAATATAATGTATTTTGAAAATACATGCCAATTTTGTTTTTGCAGTGCTCAACTTGTCCTTCAGGAGATGCCTCTGGGTGAACTCCTGTCAACTTCTTATAGTGAGCTAGTTACCCTGTTTCCTTGGATGCCACAAAAATTCCTAAAGGTCTGATTTGTAACATATTGAACATCTCTGATCAAAGTGAAGAGGAAGTCTAGCTGCTGATGGAGAGTTCTATTACAGGATCACAAACCAAAATATTTAACTGTTAATCACCTTAAATATCACTGGGTCAAACATATTCAGCTAACTACAGAACAAGTTTAATTAATTAGTCAACTAAATACCACACCACTTAGAAATCAGTTTCTTTAATATTATTAAAGTTTATATGCTCTTTAAATAGCTCTCTTTTCAGGAAAGCATAATGTCATGGTCAGCTGTCACAGATTTGATTTAATAATGCCTTAAAAATAATCAGCAATGTTGTGTTCAAATCATTGATTTAAAAAACAGATTTTATTAGAAATATTTCACTGTATATTTTTCAGTCATTTCTAGAGATGGTTCATCAAGAGAGAAGTTCAAATTTCTTGAGCAAAGAGTCGCATCATGGTTCTACAGGGTTGTCAGAACTAACTGAAGACTCCACCTTAACATTGGAAGATTATAAAACAAAACAGAACCCTGAATCTTTGCAACAACAGAAACTTAGTATGGACAGCACATTAGGGTCTGAATCAGTTGTCATGGAAAAACCTTATCAGTATAACTGGTTTACTGATTCAGGGCAACAACTAGACTCAGATATAGCTAACTCAACTGCTCTAACAAGCCAGAACTTTCCTGGTGAGGCATTAGACGAAGCCAGCTCTGGAATGGATAACCAGCAACAAGTCTCCTTGCAAGTCAGTGAAGATCTCTGGTCTCTTAGTGGGTCACAGTCATCTGTGAAGTTAAATGAATTTGAAAGGGCAGAAATTGAAGGAAGAAACATGACACCTCATGTAAATTTGGAAGATTCATGGGATACATGTACAAAGAAAGAAAACGATTTGTCTGAAAGAGGAGAAAATATTGCATTATACAGAAATTCCCAACAGAATACTGGAATTACATGGAACACAAAAGAAGAAATTGAAGAGGACAGAATAAGAGGGGAAAACATAGCTACATACAGAATTCCTCAAGAAGTGTGGACCAGTCAAAACGAAATTCAACACAATATAAGGCAATCTTGTTCAAAACTTTCTGCACAGGGATTTCCGCAACATGATATTGATCAGAGGAATATAAACCTGACTGCTACAGGCCTGAAGGATACATTTGGAGAAGATGCTTTTGAACAAGCGGTCAACTTGGAGGTATCCAGACGTTTGAAAGAACAAGGACACAATCTTGATACATTCGAAAATTCTGCAGCTGGTTCAAACAAAAATGTTTCATATGGAGAAGTGAAGAATAAAGCTTCATTTGAAGTGACTAGAACATGTGATAGTCAAGAAAGAAGTCATATTCCATTGCAATATCAAACTTGTGCAAAAGATCAGATCACCTCCTCGCGATTTAGAGACATGAATTATGATTCTCACATGGAAAGGTCAAGGTTGACAGGAAAGGAGAATTTAGTTCAAGGCACTTACCCAGTATCACAGCCAGACTTTCAAATTCAGCAATCAATGACATCAACACAAAGAAAATGTTGTTTAGCTGAATCGACACCAGAAACGACACAATATGTACAGCCTGGACAGATACAGGACATGTCCTTTGGGAAGCAACCCATGACTTACAGCATGTATGAACAAAGGTATAATGATGTTAGAACTTTTGGGGGAAAGAGGCAACATGTGCAATCTGGGAAACCAGTGGAAGGAGTGCAGTTAGGGAGGCAAGTTCATTTTGATGGAGGATTCCAGGAAAATGGTCTTGAACATGTGAGGAAGCCTTCACAAGGTCAAAGATCTTTCGCTGGTGATTTGGCCCTTGTAACGCAAAACATCCTTCAGAATGCTAAAAGTTCAGAGCTTCCGAGGAAAATCTCTCTAGGATGGCCACCTCACCGTCGAGTCAGCATTGGCTTGGCACCACCTCGACCACGAGAAGAAAGCATGAAAACAGGTCAATAGAAATATCCAAATATATAATAAACTGTTTATATCTTAATGATTGAACATTTTCAGAATAATTAATTGTCAGATTTGTTAATGACAGATAATATTCTTAGTGGTATCCTGAATCAAATTTTCATTTCTTAGTACAGTAATTGTTTTTATTGTTTTTTTCTTTTTACTTGTGTAAATTGTCCATATGGTCAAATTGTAGATCATAATCGGCTTCAACAACAACAGTCTGAATCTTTACAAACTTTCCCTGACAAAACTCCAAGGAGTAATCGCCAGAGAAGTAATAATAATCGCCAGTCCTGCTACAATAGACAGATGAGTGGGAGAAGAGGAAACTATGAGCAGCCAGCATACAGGACCTCCCAGTATGATGACCAGTCCTCGCTCTGGTTATCCTATGATTCGCCACCCATGGACCTTGATGCACCTCCAGATGAAGGATGCAACCATTCTTCAAAGGTAACATTTTTTTCTTCTTGGACACAAAGGAACCAGGGCTCTGAAAAGTTTCTTTGATGGGTTTATGACCCTATGAACTACACGCATCTTTTTGAGAGAAGGTTTCCATTCAGTTGGTGACTTCCTCGCTGAACAATATGCAAGAGGGTTACCACATGTTATGCACAGCGATTGGGTCATGCTAAACAATGCAACCATAGCAGCATGGGACATTCTGTGATTTTAGCTTAAGATTGAAACACAAACCCAGTAAGAAATGAACACACATTTGCTTTTCATCTAAGGTTGTGTAATCTGATTATCTATTGAATGTATGTACTATTAATGCGATAGCAATAATAGGTAAGAGTATCATTTCAAGATTAATTTCAGATTTATCACATGGAAAAAGGCATCAAAAGTTTATAGAAAAAAGCTGGAAAACTGGAAATGGCCAATCCACATCTGGTACATGTATCTCTATTTATATGACAATGAGAGCAGACATACTAAATTTTTAATATGATCTTCAAAACTGGGGAACTTCTTAGCCGTGGTTAAGTACATATCATGTTGAAATCTTTCCTTTCCAACTTGCTGGTATATTCCCTTGATACTTGGAAATAGTCAGACATTGTGATCTGAAGGCCCTTTTATTTTGAGCAGAACAGATTTGATCCTGTTACAACTTTGTATGTCAGATAATAATCCTAATATAATTGTAAGATAATCTGTAAGTTTCCATCTGATTTACCTTAAAAATTACAAGTATTGGATTAGATTGTTACTTTGTTTTTATTGTCCATTAAAGATTATGATAGGTATTTCTGCAACTGTTCACTTTTACAGGTATACAACACGACTAACCAGCAGTCTAAGCAAGGACCTACAAAACGTAAGGATTATGATTACATAGATTGTATAACCATAAATAGACATCAAAATTGTTATCCTATAAAAAAAGCTTTGTACTGAAGGTACATTTAGTACTTCAAAAGCTCATATGCTATAGCTTTCATTTTAAGTGGCTAATTTTCAGACTGAAATCATTTCTGTCATAAATTTCATTAATCAGCATCATGTAAAAATCAGTTTAAGAACATAACCAAAATGAAACTAGTTTGAATAAGATAAGTTACGAGACTGGATAAATGTAAATTACCTAACTCTGGTCCCACTTGTTTGTGTAATAGGAACAGATTGGTGTGGCTTGTGTATATATCTGGATAAATGTGTATTATATAACTCTGGTCCCACTTGTTTGTGTAATAGGAACAGATTGGTGAGGCTTGTGTATATATCTGGATAAATGTGTATTATATAACTCTGGTCTCACTTGTTTGTGTAATAGGAACAGATTGGTGTGGCTTGTATAGAGTGTTAATATGGTCTTGATTATCACACCAGAGACCTGAGTTTGATTCCTGGTCGGGACACTCAAGAGGAATGTGTATTTTCCGTGTTCTCTCACATTGGCTCCTAATGAAATACCATGAGTTGTGGTATGTAGTGTCAGGTTGAAATTTAGGAAGTCTCAAGAAAAAACGAGGGAGTAGTGTAATATGAGTGTGTTGATGTGGCTTGTATATTGTATTAAATACGGTCTCTCACTCAGTTGATGGGTCGGTCTGGCTTGTATATAGTATTAAATACAGTCTCTGTCACTCAGCTGACGGGTCAGTGTGACTTGTATATAGTATTAAATACGGTCTCTGTAACTCAGCTGATGGGTCAGTGTGACTTGTATATAGTATTAAATACGGTCTCTGTCACTCAGCTGATGGAGCATGCTTCATTGACTAAGTTGATAGAGCCAGTCGATTATCACACCAGACGCCCAAGTTCAATTCCTGGTCGGGCACTTTACAGGAATGCATGTTTTCCCTGTTCTTTCACACTTCTAAAATCCTTGAAGTCATTTAACTGTGGCTTATTCCATAATATTTGTGTCTTTGTCATTTTATTTGATTGCAAGCTGAAACGTTATTCTGTTCAAAATTAAAGGAATATTACTACACTAGAAGATTCAGTCCATCATTCAAATTTTGAGACATTTTAAACCAAACTTAAAAAAGGACTAATGACTACTTGTCAAAGATGTAGAGGAACAAACATCATTATGAAGTAAGGTTATTGAAAGATATACCGGTATTGCATATATTTTCAGAATCGGTGACAGGGAAGAGGTTATCCTACAAATGTGTCCCAGGATCCAAAGGAGGTCAGACAAAGTTAGTGTTCAAAGGGAAGTAACTCTTTTTACAGACATTCCTACAGGATTTTTACAACAGTTCTTGAAAACTATTTATGCCTGTTATTGTGATATACGTACCTTCTAGACCTGCAGACTGAGTATTAAGCTCTCTCTTCCAAAGAATTTGCTTTACTGGTAGATTATCATTGTTAGTTTATGATGATCAATCTATATTAATTACCTATTTATATTTCTGATGTAATTTGTGTTTTTGAAAAAATAAATACTAACCAAAGGTTACATATTTGTTGTCTTTACTATACTTTACTTATGAATGTTCAGGAAAGTATGTTAAACTGAAGTGTTTCTAGCACACGTATATGTAATTTTATACATATATAAAATTTGGTGTACAAAAACAAATTGTGTCCTTTGTGAAACCAAATTTATATCTGAACATATTTTAAAATGTCAGCAAATTTTAATTTTGGCATCAAAGTTTCTATTTGTACAAATCAGAGTATAATTTGTAATTTCAAAAATATTTTTCTGGTGATTATTAGAGCTGGTTAAACATGACATTATGTCTGTTGGTCAAAACGTAAAATACACTATCAAACTTACAATATGATTTGTTGTCTGATAGTCAGGCTCTATCAATATCAAATGTACTTCTGAAGATCTTGTCTAAGAGCCTGGTGAATGTCAAAAAAGTAAACTCCTGTTAAAAGCGGGATTGTTTTGATTATACAACAAAAAAAGAAAATCTAAGAATATTGTGAAGATTTTTTTAATACTTCCAATTTATATGTAGCACTTCTCAGAAAGAATCCTTATTTAGTTTCTGATTAAGAACAATATCCATCCATTCACACGTACATCATATTTTTATTTAAATAACCATTACTCTTTCAGTCTACTCCATATTCAAGATATATTGGAACACATTTGGTTACATACACTACCCATACCACACTCAACACAATTATATTAAAACACACATCGTCCTAATATCATATCCATTTACACAATAAACAAATGCACTATCATATAAATCAGAATCACTGACCTAGAATTTAAGGCTGCACATTATTTATTTGTATATTTTTCAGGAAATTGTAAAACTTTATCAATTATCCCAAAGTCTTTCGCAGCTTCTGCATCCATGAATCTATGTCGCTGCATTACTTCCTCTGTAAAAGAAAGGTAAATTTTGATAAAAAGTATCAATTTATAAAATGTATCAATGTATTGAGTGGTTATACTTACCTGGTCAATCAAAAAACTATTATATCACAGGAACTGTCTTTCAAACTGTTACATAAATAAATGTGATCGCTTAATATCAATATTAATGGAAAATTCAGGCATTCTTGTTATTATTTTTTCAAAGCATAAACTTTCATATTAAGAAAATAAGTTTAATTTTTATATTGAAGTTGTGAATACATGTATATTCATATATTCTACATATATAAAACTTAAATGGAATATATCGGTTTTGAATGTGCCTGTCTGTCACACATTGGTAGGTACAAATTCATATTACACCAAGTAAAGGAAGAGTGTTCGTGTATTAGCCTCGCATTGGGTCCTTTGATGTTACTCATAAGAACCAGTATATGACAAATTGTTGTATTTAACTATATTTCAAGAAACATACTAACCTATTTCTTCTAGACTTCTCCCTGTGTGTTTGGCATATATGTTGTTAACTTGATCTAAAATTCTGGAGATTTCTTCTGCTTGAATTTCTACATCTGAGGCTTGTCCCTACAAACAGTATAACAATAATCAAAACAGCACTTTGAACCTTCTTTTATAAAAAACATTCAACAATGATTCTATTTTCCTGAAGCTAAAATCATTAAACCTGAAGTATTTCTGTTCTGGCAAAAAAGAAAGTAGTGTTCACCTGGTATATATTTACCAGCCAAATATGCCTTTAAGTTCATGAGAAGTAGTCATTCAGATGTTTTTAAAATTTTACCTCTGTGACTTTGAACATAAGTCAAGGTCATTTATTTTTGCAAACTTTGACAGGCTTCATCCTAGGAACATACCAGCCAAATATGCCTCTAGGCTTTTCAATTCATGAGAAGAAGTTGTTTAAATGTTTTAACAAATTGGACTCCTGTGACCTTGAATATAGGTCAAGGTCATTTCTTTTTGCAAACTTTGTCAGACATCATCAAAGAAAGATACCAGCTAAATACCATGCATCTAGGCCTATGATTCATTAGAAGAAATTGTTTAAATGTTTAAACAACTTTGACACCAACTTAATAAAGGATGGAGCATCAACACCAAGGATTCCGTAACCGGTAGTTTTATTTGGTTGACATGTTTCGACTAGCTAGGCTAGCTGTCATCAGAACAACGATACAAGTATTGGTATAGCTAAGGTTAAAATTACGGTTCAGTCGTGACGTAATAATGCACTGTCTTGATCACATGATGATAACAATACAGATCCTTACGCTATACAAAGTAAAAGGAACAAAGATTAAAGACTATAGATTATATACATACAAAAATGGCACAGCAATGCTGTTTATAAATTGAAGTGTTCAGTTACAATGTTCATATATTGGTTGTAAATTCAATGCATTTAGACCAGCTAGGCTAGCCGTCATTGGGAGGCAATGTCAATAAATGTTTATGATGAAATGTAAATGTTGGTTAAAAAACAGTTCAGCCGTGTCATGCTGAAGTAAAGTATTCCAACGTTCTTTCGGTAGCAATGCACATACCAGCTCCGCCATTCCTGATTAGAGAAAACATCACACACTTCCAGACTTGTAGCCAGTGTAGGAGGCAAACCGAAAGAACATCGGAATACTTTACTTGAGCATGACACAGCTGAACTGTAGCATTTTTGTATGTATATAATCTATAGTTAGCTTTGTTCCTTATACTTTGTAAAGCTTACGATCTGTATTGTTATCATCACATGATCAAGACAATGCATTATTACGTCACGACTGAACTGTAATTTTAACCTTAGCTATGGCAATACTTGTACCGTTGTTCTGATGACAGCTAGCCTAGCTAGTCGAAACATGTCAACCAAATAAAACTACCGATCACGGAATCCTTAGTGTTGATGCTCCATCCTTTATTTAGTGGTTAGTACCTATCATCTATGGAGCTCTGCTAGAATCCTTCTGATCCATCTAGGATTCTTCTACCGATACATCTACCAACTAGTACCACTCACAGGATGTTGGACTCCACCTCTTTTTATTTTTCCAACTTTGACACCAGTGACCTTGAATATCAGTAAATGTCATTTCTTTTCACAAATTTTATAAGGCTTCATACTAGGAACATACCAGATAAATGTCAATACCATTGGTCCATTGTTTATTTAGAAGTTGTTCAAAGGGAAAAGTTGACGAAGGACACCATGCCAAGGCATAAGCTCACTTAGCCCCTCAGGTCAGGTGAGCTAAAAATTGGAAATCACCATATTTTGCCTGCTAGACAATAAAATCCTTGCAGACCAAATAAGACTGAACACAACTTACACTAAGACCACTGACAGGCTGAGTGAGTGTGATTCTGGAGTGGGGTAGAGCACTTCTCATCCCTGCTGTTCCAGCTGAGAGTAGTAGAGATCCCATATCTGTAGCCTGACCCACACACCAGGTGGCTATTGGATTCCCAACAAACTGCATGGTGTCATATATACCAAGTGTTGAGGACACTCTCCCACCTACAGGAAATTTAAAACTTATTTTAATTTTCAATTTGTTATCCATTTATTTCAGTATGCACAGATATAGTGGACATAGTTTCACTTGAAGCAAATATCTATAATGTTTATAATAAAAGGATGTGTATAAGTTTTACCTGGGGCTGACTGACATAGAGACACATTCATCAGTCAGGCATAGAGTCTAGTAATTTGGTGAGTACATAGTATAGATGGAAGTGAATTGTGGGTGTATGGGGCAAAGCTCTGTGAGGAGATAGGGGTGGGCATAGATGCCTTAGATGCCTTCATGCTGGAAAGAAATTTGAATAATTTGTCAAATAATTTATTTCATATCATCATCATGTATCTGCAGCTACATGCCTGCTGCTGTACATGAACAATGACTGATTTTATTTTAAACTTATTACATGTATTTCCAGTATTTACATTTGCAGTTTTTATACATTATGGTTTTTTTTACAAAACAAAAAAGTTAAAAAAAAAAATGTTTTTCAAACATGTATGTACCTACAAATATCTGATTAGGTATAGAATTTGATTAACCAAATATTTTGAGTATTTTTCATGATATGTTGTTGATTCAAAACGGTGATTTAGAATGATACGAGACATTATATGCTTCCCTCTATCCAAGTAAAAATGGTGAGGACAAAAAAAAAGATGTGAAATTTAACACTTTGTAAACTGATACCAGTTTCCCTTTATGCTGCCATCAGAGATTTGGCAATATAAAAAAGGTTTGGTGATGTAATGAGGCAGAGTACACAGAAACTGATAGGGGTAGGAATTCCTTGAAACATGTTATTCAGATTTACCTGCACAGTTGATATACATGTGGATAGTTTGTTTGGTATTTGCTGCCTGTAAATGTAAAATCTGGGCTATCACACTCCCTGCTACCTCATCACATATCTAAAAAGGAAAGAAAAATATTCATTTATCAAATACAAGATATTTAGATGTGAACAAAAAATATCCAAGTCTTTTTTCAATAAGGCGGTACAGTTACATTTTTTTCATCTCATTGTTAAACAAGATAGCATAAATGATTCAAATAGTATTACAACCAGAACAAAATTTAACAAGATGACAATCTGTCATGCGAAAGATTGCAAACAACAAGAGTTATCTCCCTTGTCCCATTGTCTATCACTTGTTTGCCATTTATTCGAAATGCTAAATGATAAGGCAAAATGTTGAATATGAAATATGAAACACTAAATGTGACTTTTTTTTATTGTGAAGCAGTTTCAGTTTATTGACGATTATGAAATAAAACGTTTCACATTCATCAGCATTGAGCAAAATCAATTCACATAAAGTATTTATCATATGTCGTACTGGTTTTCTATAAATATCTACCACATAACAAAGTGACAATGAGAAATACTGCAATCAGATACAGAAATTCCTTCCCTCACCGTCTAACATTCTGTTGATGATGAATGTCCTTAATCCATTTTTTGGAATTGATTATTTGTTTTGGTGACTTTCGTGCGATTGGAAGTTAGATCTCTTGTAAACTATACTTTCCTTGGTTTACTGATTTCTCAACCAATTCTAATGAAACTAAATGTAATTGTACGTCCAGTACATTAGATAATTGTGTGCATGTCGTTTGTTTCTTACTGAATAATTTTATTTTCTTACATCCTTTTATGTATAGTATTATGCATTTTATGTAAGCAGAAATTAAGTCTGCAGTTCTTTCACTGTTTTTTTTATTATGTGCAATACCCGTATATATATTCCCTACACTATACACACTGTAAATGGTATATTTTACTAATGTTTCAATTTTCTCAGGCATCAGTAATCTTAACACATCCCAAAAACAGATCTCGCATTTGGATAAGGAAAAAATCTTACTTATATATTCTGAAAATTGGCATTTTATGTCTAATGGTTTCAGGTTCAATGATTTTTGAACCAAGTGTTGGTAACTATAGTTTATGTACTAAGTTATACATTGTGTGTGGCCTGTGATAGCTTATAATGAAATATTATATTAATTCATACCACCAGTAAATCCAATTCATTATTCATTATCAATATTTCTAAATTGATTGATGGAATTTCGTTCAGAATATATTATTTTAATTCTTGTTGAAAAATGATTGGATTGCAATGATTGGCTTTCTTTTGAAGGTCCTGTTTAATCTGGATATCTTACTGGCTGTACTCACAGGTGTCATGATGCAGATTATTCTTTGTTGGAGTAGGTGGGCGTAAATGTTGGTTACTGGTTGGTTTTCTTCAACACGATAGTTATTATAGGTTTTTCTATTCATTGTATGGTGGATCAGTCGTGTTTGAATTCTTCTAGGCACCAAACGCAGACATCTCTGAAAATAAAATTAAGATCATTTCAACATTTTTTAAAGAAATTAACAGCATTACTGTCAGTTCTGTTTAAGATATATTTTCTAATAAAGAGAAAGTGATGAAGGTTCTTGAGCAATAAACCAGAAATCAAGTGACAAATCAGGAAATTTGGCATTAAGATTGGCTCTTGATCGTCCTGGTTTGTCAAAACTTTATTTTTCACCAAGCGACACGTAATTCAATTCAGTTTTTATTTTATCTGAATGTTGAAAAACTTTACCGGATCAACATGTTGGAGTTAACCGATTACTGAAAGTGGTATCTTTCCCTCAATTGCACAACTAATACCCTTTGAGGGATCGTACCCAATCTGTTCTATATAAAGTTCTTTAAAATGCCAAGAAACCTCAAGTCGTTGCATAAGGTGCTTGTCTATATGAGTTAGATACACGTCGCCAGAACACTGGCGTTCCTCGGCGAGACGATACCCGGACAAGGGAGGAGTCATGAAGACGGAAAACCTGTCAATCACTGAGTTAGATCATGCAAATGATTAACTAATCTGAACATGACCCTGAGGCAAATTCCTGTCTTTATTCGTAAGTGTTGTCACGGACTGATGTTGCTGCCTATGCAGGTATCCGATTGACCATTCGATTTTAGGTAGATCTGTCCAAATCTAGTACCAGAGTATACACAGACACTAAGGTTCTGATTGAACATATTGAGATATCGATGGTTGACACGTTTGCTAAATCGTTTTCCTTAAAGAAAGTCACAAAATGATCAAATATGTTGACTTGTCATCTATACATGCAGAATAGTTTATAACAGTACCTGCAGCAACGCCATTTCGGAAGAAGTTGCGTCAAATTCTGCTTCCGGACATAGGCTAAAATGCAAATTGAAATAGTTTTTTCCGGATTTATGTAATACAAATTTGGACTGGATGCAAAATCTTAAATGCCGAAAATATTGTCACACCTTTAACGTACTTTTTTCATAACATATTTGCTTTTTTTCAAACTAATCGACATTAAGTTTCATTGTCATACAATAGATTTTTCTCGCTACCGAATGCATCTCAGGCTTCGGCGTTTTGGTACGCGGACATAATTCTACTTCCGTTAGAAAACATGGCCGATTCGTAACAACAAAACGACAGAAGTTTTATGTTACTTAAATTTTTGGCCAATTTATGACGGATTAGAATGGCAGCTACGATCCGAAAGGATACGTTCGTGTTATCTGAGTAAGTTGTTTCAATGCCTTGTAATAGTTCATCATTCTTGATACTTTAATTAAAGCGTTTAACCTGTACGTTTTCGTTGCTAAGGAAGCTGCAGGTGCCCTTCTTCAGTTTCTGTCTGTTAGTTTTCTATTATCGTGGTGTATATCTATTTGTAATGAATTTACATCCTTATATAGTTTCTTGCATTTGAAAAGAGAAAAATAACTCTGCTTAAAGCACGAAATAATGTTGAAGTTTACTCTTTCAAAACCATGCACAGTTTGTGCAGAAGTTACACTGTTCATTGTAAATGCTGATTGTGGTGAATTATGTGTAAAATTTGTACACGTATTCATATCTACACGTGTTCATCTAACATGAATTTAATCTGAGCTACTGTAAATACCATTATTATTTGCAAATTATAAACTATATCAATTTTGCAATGTAAATACTATTAATTATTTGTTTCTGTATATTTATATTACATGTTTCTTTGTTTGTGTCGTTAATGTTTTGATGAAAAACCTTTAGTTGCTATATTTCACTTTTTAGCAGCCAGAAAAGTACAGACAACATGTCGGGAATAGATAGACAGAATGTGATGAGGCTACGTATAAACAGAATAGCTTTGGTCCAGGAACTGAAGGTTGATCATATCATTGGAGCCCTCATAGAACAAAACTTACTTAACAATTTTGACCAGAGAAAGATTGCGCATGGTACTACACATGCAGACAAAGCCCGTATTCTCATAGACTTACTGCCCTCAAAAACAAATGTCCCCGATTGGTACAATATATTTCGTGATGCTATGATGAATCCAGATGCTGGCCCAGAGGTCAGGAAGAGGTATAGGTCTTTGGTGGAGTTCCTTGATAACACTGTCATCCATCGCCCAACCTCACAAACTGCAAAATTTAGTGAAACAATGGACAAAAGGAGGCTACCTCATTACAATCCAGTACCACCCATCATCAAGGACAGTAAGAATCAGTCCAAACCTCAAAATGTCCTCAATCTTGATGAGGAAAGACGTGGGGCTCCTCCAGACCAAGAGATGGAAAAACAAACCAAAGACATGATACCAGAACGTGGGGACAAATTGACTCCCTGGAATCAAGACAATCAAGAGTCCATGACCCTTGTCAAAGGGTTTTTCCAGCAATGGGTGCCAACTCCAGATAACTTCAGATCACTTTTACAGGTAAATCTTAAACATTGTACATTCAAAGTTTTATATCAAATAACAATTGTAAATATATACACGTACTTTCCGCCATACTTCATTATCAGATTTGCTGTATTTGTCAATTGAGAAATGTTTGTGCTGGATTATCAGGCAAGGAAAGCTGCTGGAAATCATTTTCTTTCTTGAAAAACTTGAAAGGCAATTGAACCAAAGGCAGTTCAGCTACAGAATTTTGTCTTGTTGTTGACTTCTCAGAAACTTAAACATTATGTATTTATATATTATTAATTACTGTATCTTACTTTATCTAGTATAAAATATGTCTGGTAATAAGCCCACCCATATTTATTGCTGTTGTGTCGAGTTACCATCAGCTACTATTTCATTGCCTTGTATTAAGCCCAACCCCTGATTCTGAATAAGAAGTTATTTGTGGTGGTTATTACAGTAAACATATGATAAACAGCTTTTATGTAATATATCTTCATAAAAAGGTTCCTGAGGGTCATTTCCAAGCTCTTCAAGAGTCCAATCACCCTGATGACAAAGCACAGCTTGCCTTAGAGACAAAAGCTTTGGAGAAAATTAGAAAGTTGGAACTAGTTGCTGTTCTGGGAAGGAGAAAGCAGCTTCCTCAGGGTTTTGAACTCTGCATGTGTGATGTGGTACATGAAATTTTATTTGACTCTGAAAACTATCACCTTTTTTTCAAATACTTTCGAAACCTTCAAGAATCTGAAGTCCATCTACTCAGTGACATTGTGGATTCTTATTCTTCTGTAATGCAAGCACTGGATCCATCAAAATCAAGTGATGATACCAAACAGGCAATCAAACTGGGTTATCATCTGATAGACTTCCTTGCTGAGTTTGGATACTTCAAGGAAGCAGAGCTCATCATGGCGGTCCTTCTGATTGTTCTAAACCAAACTGACAACATCGAGACATGGATGACCAAATACAAAGGTTTTGTGAAGCTGATGCGGCTGCGAAATATGAATTATAATTTCAGTGGAACATACACTGCCTATTCAATGGCTACTGAGATGATGTGGAAGATAGATAAGATGTCCTTCGGAAAGGACCTGATACCAAAGGCAGAGTTATACAACGAGATCTGCCAGATGATGTTAGAGCGTGGATCTGTGAATGCTGCTTTTGGCTGGGCACAGAAAGCTCTTAAGGTAAAAAAAACAGCTTCCTTCACAATCTTGCATCACATAAATTGATTTTGAATAAATGAACCTTGATGAATATTTTTGGAAACTATTTAACTTAACACAGAGTTAAATTGAAATTTAAAGCTTTTAAGCCAAGTCATTTTTTCTAAGCTGTAGTCATGGTTAATTCTCAATTTCACTGGTGGGGTGGAGGGATGGGAGATTTTTAAATGTTCTTCAATCAGAGGCAAAAGATGTCTCATGTGCATGATTTTTAAATTGTTATATGACCAAGGACATGCCTCTCTTGTGAGATATCCCACAGGTTTCCAAAAACTGCAATATTAGCCTGAAACTGGTCAATTCCGACATAAGAGGTACCATTGCCAATAGATAACCTTGACTGAAAAAGTAACAGGGAATTTCCATGACATGAAGTTATCATCACAAATTGATAACCTAGACTGAAAATGAAGTTATAATATGGACATCTTAAATGCCATGTTATATAACAAAACAGGAACTTTTTGTGGCCTCAGTCTCGAGTTAACAAATCCTCATATCAACCTGGACAAAGGTTTGCTAATTGTGTAATGTTGCCTTCATACATTTTGTATTTGATTGGTTTATAACATGAAACAAATAAAAAGAATATTGAATTAAATATTGGAGAATTAACGAACGTGTAATGCATTTGATGTCCTTACAGTAGACTTTGTCTTGATTCTTAATCAGTGATATTTCTGAGCTTAATCTGATACAAATTGTACGAAATATATAAAACTTACATACATTTATTGGTAGGAGGTCCAGTAAGGCAGTAGAGGCACATCTGCTGTGTACTTTGTACATTCATCAGGAGTTTACACCTGAAAACATTACCCTCAAATTGATTTTTAAATTTATATTTTACATTTCATTGGTAAAATATAATGTTTCTATGAGTTTTATTGCAGAAGGACTGATATGTATGATTCTTTGTTTGGTAGGAGGTTGGGGAGACTGACTCTGTGAATGTTATCAATATCCTATGTACAGCTGTGATAGCCTACTGTTCCAAGTGGCAGGTGAAGCGAGCCGAAACACTGGCCATACAGGTCGTTCAGCAGGCCAGGTGAGTACTCTGAGTTCCTGATAAATTGTTTGAGTGGATGACCTTTGCTACTGACCTTTTAAACCATCTTGCTAAAATTGAGAAAAAAAAAGGTTTAATAATCCTCTTTCTAATGAAAACACCAATAAAAATCACTTTATACTCAATATTATTGCCAGTTGTGATGAGTATGTGTACAGCATAAGTTGTTACAGTGTACAAGGTTCTGTTGTGATGAGTATGTGTACAGCATCAGTTGTTACAGTGTACAAGGTTCTGTTGTGATGAGTATGTGTACAGCATCAGTTGTTACAGTGTACAAGGTTCTGTTGTGATGAGTATGTGTACAGCATCAGTTGTTACAGTGTACAAGGTTCTGTTGTGATGAGTATGTGTACAGCATCAGTTGTTACAGTGTACAAGGTTCTGTTGTGATGAGTATGTGTACAGCATCAGTTGTTACAGTGTACAAGGTTCTGTTGTGATGAGTATGTGTACAGCATCAGTTGTTACAGTGTACAAGGTTCTGTTGTGATGAGTATGTGTACAGCATCAGTTGTTACAGTGTACAAGGTTCTGTTGTGATGAGTATGTGTACAGCATCAGTTGTTACAGTGTACAAGGTTCTGTTGTGATGAGTATGTGTACAGCATCAGTTGTTACAGTGTACAAGGTTCTGTTGTGATGAGTATGTGTACAGCATCAGTTGTTACAGTGTACAAGGTTCTGTTGTGATGAGTATGTGTACAGCATCAGTTGTTACAGTGTACAAGGTTCTGTTGTGATGAGTATGTGTACAGCATCAGTTGTTACAGTGTACAAGGTTCTGTTGTGATGAGTATGTGTACAGCATCAGTTGTTACAGTGTACAAGGTTCTGTTGTGATGAGTATGTGTACAGCATCAGTTGTTACAGTGTACAAGGTTCTGTTGTGATGAGTATGTGTACAGCATCAGTTGTTACAGTGTACAAGGTTCTGTTGTGATGAGTATGTGTACAGCATCAGTTGTTACAGTGTACAAGGTTCTGTTGTGATGAGTATGTGTACAGCATCAGTTGTTACAGTGTACAAGGTTCTGTTGTGATGAGTATGTGTACAGCATCAGTTGTTACAATGTACAAGGTTCTGTTGTGATGAGTATGTGTACAGCATCAGTTGTTACAGTGTACAAGGTTCTGTTGTGATGAGTATGTGTACAACATCAGTTGTTACAGTGTACAAGGTTCTGTTGTGATGAGTATGTGTACAGCATCAGTTGTTACAGTGTACAAGGTTCTGTTGTGATGAGTATGTGTACAGCATCAGTTGTTACAGTGTACAAGGTTCTGTTGTGATGAGTATGTGTACAACATCAGTTGTTACAGTGTACAAGGTTCTGTTGTGATGAGTATGTGTACAGCATCAGTTGTTACAATGTACAAGGTTCTGTTGTGATGAGTATGTGTACAGCATCAGTTGTTACAGTGTGCAAGGTTCTGTTGTGATGAGTATGTGTACAGCATCAGTTGTTACAGTGTGCAAGGTTCTGTTGTGATGAGTATGTGTACAGCATCAGTTGTTACAGTGTACAAGGTTCTGTTGTGATGGGTATGTGTACAGCATCAGTTGTTACAGTGTACAAGGTTCTGTTGTGATGAGTATGTGTACAACATCAGTTGTTACAGTGTACAAGGTTCTGTTGTGATGAGTATGTGTACAGCATCAGTTGTTACAGTGTACAAGGTTCTGTTGTGATGAGTATGTGTACAGCATCAGTTGTTACAGTGTACAAGGTTCTGTTGTGATGAGTATGTGTACAGCATCAGTTGTTACAGTGTACAAGGTTCTGTTGTGATGAGTATGTGTACAGCATCAGTTGTTACATTGTACAAAGTTCTGTTGTGATTGTGATGAGTATGTGTACAGCATCAGTTGTTACAGTGTACAAGGTTCTGTTGTGATGAGTATGTGTACAGCATCAGTTGTTACAGTGTACAAGGTTCTGTTGTGATGAGTATGTGTACAACATCAGTTGTTACAGTGTACAAGGTTCTGTTGTGATGAGTATGTGTACAGCATCAGTTGTTACAGTGTACAAGGTTCTGTTGTGATGAGTATGTGTACAGCATCAGTTGTTACAATGTACAAGGTTCTGTTGTGATGAGTATGTGTACAGCATCAGTTGTTACAGTGTACAAGGTTCTGTTGTGATGAGTATGTGTACAACATCAGTTGTTACAGTGTACAAGGTTCTGTTGTGATGAGTATGTGTACAGCATCAGTTGTTACAGTGTACAAGGTTCTGTTGTGATGAGTATGTGTACAGCATCAGTTGTTACAGTGTACAAGGTTCTGTTGTGATGAGTATGTGTACAACATCAGTTGTTACAGTGTACAAGGTTCTGTTGTGATGAGTATGTGTACAGCATCAGTTGTTACAATGTACAAGGTTCTGTTGTGATGAGTATGTGTACAGCATCAGTTGTTACAGTGTGCAAGGTTCTGTTGTGATGAGTATGTGTACAGCATCAGTTGTTACAGTGTGCAAGGTTCTGTTGTGATGAGTATGTGTACAGCATCAGTTGTTACAGTGTACAAGGTTCTGTTGTGATGGGTATGTGTACAGCATCAGTTGTTACAGTGTACAAGGTTCTGTTGTGATGAGTATGTGTACAACATCAGTTGTTACAGTGTACAAGGTTCTGTTGTGATGAGTATGTGTACAGCATCAGTTGTTACAGTGTACAAGGTTCTGTTGTGATGAGTATGTGTACAGCATCAGTTGTTACAGTGTACAAGGTTCTGTTGTGATGAGTATGTGTACAGCATCAGTTGTTACAGTGTACAAGGTTCTGTTGTGATGAGTATGTGTACAGCATCAGTTGTTACATTGTACAAAGTTCTGTTGTGATTGTGATGAGTATGTGTACAGCATCAGTTGTTACAGTGTACAAGGTTCTGTTGTGATGAGTATGTGTACAACATCAGTTGTTACAGTGTACAAGGTTCTGTTGTGATGAGTATGTGTACAACATCAGTTGTTACGGTGTACAAGGTTCTGTTGTGATGAGTATGTGTACAGCATCAGTTGTTACGGTGTACAAGGTTCTGTTGTGATGAGTATGTGTACAGCATCAGTTGTTACAGTGTACAAGGTTCTGTTGTGATGAGTATGTGTACAGCATCAGTTGTTACAGTGTACAAGGTTCTGTTGTGATGAGTATGTGTACAGCATCAGTTGTTACAGTGTGCAAGGTTCTGTTGTGATGAGTATGTGTACAGCATCAGTTGTTACAGTGTACAAGGTTCTGTTGTGATGAGTATGTGTACAGCATCAGTTGTTACAGTGTACAAGGTTCTGTTGTGATGAGTATGTGTACAGCATCAGTTGTTACAGTGTACAAGGTTCTGTTGTGATGAGTATGTGTACAGCATCAGTTGTTACAGTGTACAAGGTTCTGTTGTGATGAGTATGTGTACAACATCAGTTGTTACAGTGTACAAGGTTCTGTTGTGATGAGTATGTGTACAGCATCAGTTGTTACAGTGTACAAGGTTCTGTTGTGATGAGTATGTGTACAGCATCAGTTGTTACAGTGTACAAGGTTCTGTTGTGATGAGTATGTGTACAGCATCAGTTGTTACAGTGTACAAGGTTCTGTTGTGATGAGTATGTGTACAACATCAGTTGTTACAGTGTACAAGGTTCTGTTGTGATGAGTATGTGTACAGCATCAGTTGTTACAGTGTACAAGGTTCTGTTGTGATGGGTATATGTACAGCATCAGTTATAACAGTGTACAAGGTTCTGTTGTGATGAGTATGTGTACAACATCAGTTGTTACAGTGTACAAGGTTCTGTTGTGATGAGTATGTGTACAGCATCAGTTGTTACAGTGTACAAGGTTCTGTTGTGATGAATATGTGTACATCATCAGTTTTTACAGTGTACAAGGTTCTGTTGTGATGAGTATGTGTACAACATCAGTTGTTACAGTGTGCAAGGTTCTGTTGTGATGAGTATATGTACAACATCAATTGTTACAGTGTACAAGGTTCTGTTGTGATGAGTATGTGTACAGCATCGGTTGTTACAGTGTAGTACAAAGTTCTGTTTACAGATGTATAGATTCAAGAACTACACATTTTTTTTAAATTACTATTTTCTTGAAAAATAGCCCTCTATCACCCTGGATCTGTGTATTGATTTGGAGGTAATCAGAGAGAGATATTTTCATCAACCATTTAATCGTTTGTTATTTTAAAGACACTTGTTGTAAATGCAAATAATCTTTTTAAATGTTATTATGAAATTGCCTTATATTTTTCTGACCAGAACCACGTTTGGTCCAAGACACCCAATGTACCTGAAAGCTCTCCTTGCGTTCTGCCATTTCTCAAATGAGTTCAAGCAGGATCAAGCTGGTTTAGATGTGGCTCTGGTGAATATTTTTACAATGTATATTCAAGAACAAATCAATTTATTAATTAAAATAAATAAATAAATGGATAAAATATGAAGAAAAACTTTTTTTTTAAAATAATATTTTACCCTTCCTGATTGTTAGAACAATAACTTGTCACTTGATTCTAATAAAAATACAAAGTGACCGGGCATAAAAATATACATGAAAAAGGAAAATTTGGACTGTAATTTAACATGACTTTTTGATTTCAATTACATGTTTTGAGATTTTTATGTTACAGTTAGTATAGTTTCGTTTCTTTAGGTTAATAAAACCATGTATTGGCCTCATCAAAAGGCTGTAATTGTATAATATCAATTTGTTAGTTGAATAAATCTATGGAGAGCTTCGCTGAATCTTGTGTATAAATCATTTATATTTAAATACAAGAGAAACTGATGAAGTGTTGGTGTATATTTTGTATTTGGTTTGTTAATATAGATTTATTGGGTCATATGTATCTTGTAATAACTCCATCTGACCAACTACTGCCACCTTTCTGTTAGTCAAGTTCTGGATGAAAATAACATTTGTTTGTAATTTTACAGAACAGCAGTAGTTATATGTGGGCATATCATGTACCAAGCACCAGGAGTCCATTCAATATATCTATAAATATGATATTTTTAATATATTAAGTGAGTGACTCAGGAGTTTCCATGATGATCTGTTATTGAAATTTACCCCAAAATCATTAACAAGTTTGAGCAATGTATATATTTACTGACAATAAGCCTAGGGTGTCAACTCACAAGTGTCTTATCTTGTGCGTATAAAAGCTGGTATTTTCATTTTGAAGAAAATCTAAAAGAAAGCTAATGAATGTTGAATGCAGACGTATGTTCATTTCTTACCAGCATGCATTAGAGGTGGCCCATAAAATCTATGGCTGTGATATGATCATGACTGCCCTGGCCCATCGAGCTGTTTGTAAGGCTATGCTGGTCCTGCAGAAGTTTGATGACTTCAACTATGATGAGCATGCAAATGAGGGATTGAGGAAAGCACGGATTCTCCTGCGAGACAACCATCCTATGTTGTATCTTTTCCTCCATACTGCAGGTTAGAATTCTCCATAAATCAACAATGACATCCATATGTCCTGTGACATTTAGGAAATTCAGAAGATCTTGATGTTGTATATTGTATTTTTCATACCTACTACAATATGGAAATCCTTATGTGCAAGTTTTTGATTCTGATGATTATTTTTATAATTTAGAAATTTCTTGAAATTGAGTGTATCTTTTTTATGTGCAATTTCTTTTGCAATCATTTTTATCAGTTAAAAAGTTATGGTCTGAATTTAAAAAAAAAAGAAAAATCACTTCAAAGCACTAACATAGATGTGTTGGAAATTGATTCATCCCCGTTACTTCAAGGAAGCGACATATTTCAATTATGTACATTATCTTATGCATTTCCCATTCTGATTGACAAGTTGATAATTTCCAGGAAAATGAAATAACTCTTTATGAGCTTATTTTTTACAAACAAGTGAAAATTTCAACGTTTTTAAAAGTTTTTACAAATTTCTAAAAAGTGGTCAACCTTTTATTTTGACTAGAATTAAGTGATGCGTAAATTATCTTTAACTTACTGATAACACCTGCATTCACTTTTCATTTATTTTCCATTAAATATAATTTTTGTCCAATTATAGCCACAGCTCTCCAGTGGAAAGCCCTTCACTCTTCGAAGGACATGATGAGTGCGACATTGACATTAGCCGAAACAGAGGCAAAGATTGCTATCGGTATAGTTGAAGAATATTACGGCGATATTAGTGTGAGGGCTGCCCAAATGTATTCCCTTCTCGGGCAGATCTATTCCAAGATGGATAGGTATGCTGCACTTTATGATTGTATCCATTTTTCTGCTTTCATGGAAAGGCTTTAATGATATTTGTACAAAGATTATGTGAGGATCAAGTTATTTTATGAAGTGAAATTTTAGCATGTATAGGAACCATCTTCTTAGATAGCCAAGATCAGTAGCCACCTACTGTTTTTCCAGAGAAGTAAATAGGTGGTAACTCTTTGCCAGGGATGGTCAATGCTTGCATTATGCTTGTTCACAAGTCAAATTCAAATCCTAATTACAAAGTCTGTAGATTGATCAATCACCTTGTTTAGTAAGCATGTTCAAATTTTAGAGGAGAGGAGGATCAGTGTTTGTGAGAGCCAATTTTTAAGTGATTAAAAACCTGAAATGATTTCTCTATATCTAGCTATATGTATTTAAAAGTCCATCGCTCTCTGGTCTCTGGTGTTATTGTCTAGACTACAGGATGCTATGGAAATGATTTCTCTATATTTTTACCTGTATATTTCATCAGCCATTGTTTTCTGTTGTTGTTTTGTAGACTACAGGATGCTGACAAAATTATTTCTAAATATTTACCTGTATATTTCATCAGCCATTGTTTTCTGTTGTTGTTTTGTAGACTACAGGATGCTGAGAAAATTATTTCTAAATATTTACCTGTATATTTCATCAGCCACTGTTTTCTGTTGTTGTTTTGTAGACTACAGGATGCTGACAAAATTATTTCTAAATATTTACCTGTATATTTCATCAGCCATTGTTTTCTGTTGTTGTTTTGTAGACTACAGGATGCTGAGAAAATTATTTCTAAATATTTACCTGTATATTTCATCAGCCATTGTTTTCTGTTGTTGTTTTGTAGACTACAGGATGCTGACAAAATTATTTCTAAATATTTACCTGTATATTTCATCAGCCATTGTTTTCTGTTGTTGTTTTGTAGACTACAGGATGCTGAGAAAATTATTTCTAAATATTTACCTGTATATTTCATCAGCCATTGTTTTCTGTTGTTGTTTTGTAGACTACAGGATGCTGACAAAATTATTTCTAAATATTTACCTGTATATTTCATCAGCCATTGTTTTCTGTTGTTGTTTTGTAGACTACAGGATGCTGACAAAATTATTTCTAAATATTTACCTGTATATTTCATCAGCCATTGTTTTCTGTTGTTGTTTTGTAGACTACAGGATGCTGAGAAAATGCTCTATAAGAGTGCTATGTGCTTCAAGATTTGTCTGAATCCCAACAGCAACTTCCGCTTGCTGTCTATGGCTACCCTTGGTACTTTCTATAAGATCTTTGACAAGCCAAAGGAAGCTATCCTCATGTTCAATGACGTCATCACAAATTTAGGTATTTACAGAATTATATATATATACAATATATACACCTCAAGAAACAGGCTTTATTTGATTCTTTAATAATTTTAGGAAAACTCAAAAAATACTTTTTATTGTTTGTCAGTTTTGAATAGAATTATCTGTAGACATCATATTTTTGTCTTTGTGTTTTATTTACGATCAACAGACTTCTGGCATAATTTTTGAAATACACATAAGAGTACTAGTGAACCCTGTAAGATATTGAAACGTGTCATTATCATCTTATTACAGTTCTTCTATTGTCTCTAATTGTTAACTGGTTTGATCTGTTTTCCATTTTAATGAATTAATAAATGATTTAATTCCATTTCTGCTGAACAGAACCCTGTGGTGTATATCTGAAATGGGTTCATGTGTGCTTTGAGCACCTGATAAGCACACTCCAGTCAATCAACATGAACAAGGAGGCTGACGAGGTCCAGATCAAACTGTCACAGTGGCTGCGGGACCATCCTGTCTATGAGAGAGTGATCAGTGTTGAAGATCTGCAACAGAAAGCACAGCCTTTCTCTCGCTTCATGGAGGAGTTTGATATCTGGGAAAAACATACAAAGAAGATTTTGGCGGCAGTATTAAAGAAGGATAAATGAAGCTCGGGAATTAACAATTCTGAAACTGTCTGTGATGGATTTAAATATCCTCACTAAAAGGATTTAAGATGGCCAAATTTATATATTTTTTTCTAGGATCAAATACTTCACATTTGTTGTAGTTATTGCATTTTGATAAATTCTCCTGATTTAGATCATGAATAGCATTTGAAACTGAAAATTTATTTTCTGTTGAGTATAGTATGCTTAGATGTGAAATAAAAGGTAACATTCAACAATGTTGTGTACAAAATAAACAAAATCTGTGACCTTGTCCAATGATTGATTTCAGACACTGTATCAAATTCAGGTGTCAAACTTGACAGAATTTAGAATATAAGTGTTACTTTGAAGAAAGGTAAGATATTATATGTACAGCTTTATGTTGGTTATATACAGGTGTAATAAACTACTGTAAAATCATATATATTTCTTGGACTCGTATCCTTTGGGATTTTCCATAATTTTTTTTTTATATCTTATTTCTTGAATAGATAGAACTCAGGAACACTGATAGTGCAAAGATAATATTATCATTTATCTTTTATCATTTTGTGGTCATTTAAATTCAATTATTGAGATTACCCATGAAATCAAAGAAAATAAATATCCCTCAAAAATCAATAATTACACAGCATCTGTTGACCTATTCTCACTCTCATTACCTACATTGAAAGCAATATGTAAGTAGGGTGTTATCTGTGGAAATGTCAAACCTAGAACAATATTGTTAAAGATTCCTAGAGTTTGTAAACTAACATTGATATATCTTGATAAAACAGTAGTACATTATGTTTATGTATAGTCTGTTAAATGGGATATTGCATGAAATATTAAAGAAAAGACAGATAAAAAATAAAAAACATACTTAAAAAAAATATGGTGAATTCATCTGTATCATTAGAAACGGATGCTTTATTTTAATCTTAACTGACCCTAACTAATTGATCACTGATTTCCATGGAAAAAAATCTAAAAGGCCTTTATCTTAAACATAAAAAGAGCAAATAATTTGATGATATTTCAACATTCTCAGCATTCCTATACTAAACATTTTAACAATCTTTGTTTATGATAATGTGATTTTCATACATTTAGTAAACTTTTTTCTATGTGATATTGATGATGCTGTCTTTGTTATTTGTTTGACAATATTTTGGTGTATTTTTATACATATATTAACTTTTATTGGAAGAGTTTCTTCAACATAAATCTCTCTATTTTTGTAAGACTTTATCTATGAATAATTACTTTTGCCAAGCACTGTTACTATTGATAGATGTATGGATTCTGTAAATGTTGTCAAACTTCTAAGAAATGTTGTTGCTTCTTTGAAGTTTTGATGTCTTTATTTTGTTTGAAATCCTGTTGTTTTTCTGTGTTTTAGATGATGTTTCCCTACCATGTAACTTTAACATGTTTACATACATATGAAATGTCCTCTTGTCTAATTTAGTGTTCTATATATAAATGTCGAACAAGGAACATGTATTATATATTCTTAAAATGTAAGCATGCAGTCAGTCTTTCTTGTCTTTAGAAGAAATTGGCGTTCATGAATATTGAAATATTTTACATCTTTAAAAGGAGACATACATGCATGTAAAATTACAATGGTTTGCTTTATATAGAATAATGATATATAGATACCAGTGTACACGAGTCTGTAATAGAAAAGAATTAATTAAGATGAAAATGGGACATGCTGTAATCAGGATGGAGGTTTTGAACAGGTATGGCAATATTTAAACATCATACATGTACATTTGGCAATATGGAGGGTGTATCTACAAAAATGTTGTAGAAGTGTTTATTGCATAATAGAAATTGATTTCAGTGTTATTTCTTTTGTTTGTTTTGTATCTACATGTATATATAAGTATAAATCTATGTTGATGTATGTATATAATATCCAGGTGTGACTGTTTGATACAGATTTAAAATAATTATGATCATATGATGGCAAAGTTATTCATGTATTCCGTGAAAATGTATTTACCAAAATTTCTAAATTCTACATCTACTGGGCTTGTGCACATGAACATTCTAAAACTTTTTAAATTTTCAACTCACCACAACTTCATCCTGTTAATAACACTATCTCATCTGACAACAACAAATGTAGCTACTTCAAAGGATTTTCGTGTATACCATACTTCCACCGTGATCCATATAAATGTTTATGTATGACATATATATGTACACTTACTCTAAATAAACTTCCATCATTTCACATCAGACTTGTTGTTAATGATCAGATAACTAAATATTTGTATAAGACAGGTACGCCCTCTATAAACGTTGCTATTTCACTATTGTGTTGGTAAATATTTCGATGTAGAATGATATAACTTGTGCTGTTTTTCAGTAAGAAATCTTGTAGATCCTAATAATGAACGGTTCTCTCCTGACCTTGACATTATGATCAAACAAACTGCTGTATCTCAATCAAGTGGTACATTGAAATATCTATCTTACCAAAGGAGATACATTTGTAGCTCACTATCATGATCTGTGATGGATGTGTTAGTTTCATTTTGCTGAATGTGAATTTCCCATTTCTTGGTAGAAACATTCTTGTCAATTCATATTCTGGGGATTGTCATCATATCACCAGGGAATTCTAATGTTCTATATCCCCGTGTGGTAGGACATTTGAAGTGTTCGATGTACTTTAGTTAGCCTTGTGGTTTCTTGCCACTTCGCTGGTCAATTTGGAAAATTTAACACTATTTAACGTGATATACAAACAATAAATTAAACCGCATCATGCAGCTGTTTGGTCCTTCTAGGACTCACTAATGATGATAATGGCCGAAATATTAGATCCTAAAGGGGACTGAGGAAAATCCCAAGTGATCGAAAGAAAAGTAAAAATCCTGATTGGAGTGGGGTGCACTTATCCCATTCTTCAGTAATTTTCAAACCTAGTAGTTGTTGTTTGAAAAATGAGGAGCCATGCTATAAAATGATCATCGTGTCCATTTAAAGATCCTTAAAAATATCCAGTGAGTATTTTGAAAATGTTCAGAAATCTTCAGTATCATTTCCCAACAGTAAGCAAGTTACAATGAATGAATAAGATAGAAATTGTGACATTTTTATTAGAATTTACGGCATCAAATTTACAATGCCTTCACAAAATGCCAAGAAAACGGTGCCCCTTAGATTTTAATGCCGACGTCCCCCGAATCGTTGGCACCATGGAGATGTCCCAAACCCGTTCTCCAGCACCACATCCAACCAACGCTTGGTCACGTCCGTGACTGTTGCCATGGAGATGTACCATGGCCCTCCAAGACGAGTTGGTAGATTTGTTATCAGACGGGACGGTGATAGCGAATTGGTAAAGACCACGACTAGGACATGTAAACTGTCCTCCACTAACATCGTTACCTCCTCCTTGGCTGACTTCGACGTGGTTTACTTTCACCGAGTGTCCGTTTTCTACACTGTAAGTGAGTTGAAGTGGAATTCAAAGCCGATGATATAGTTAGACGCTTTTCGGCCCGCTTATGATTTATAATAAACAAGCATGTCATATTGCATTCCAGTGTTTTCAAGGTTTAACCGTTAACCAATATTTAATTGCAATATCACTTAATTATTTTCCAAAATAATTGACATGCACGTTTTAAAAGAAAACAAAATACCAACACAACTTCTCGGTTTCGTTTTGCTTTTTTTAAGGTAGTTCATCTATAGCACGAACTGCGTTTTGCAAGGCTTGTAAAAATCCTAAAATCTTGTATAAAATAAAAACTCATTACAGATCCTATATATGTCACAGTAGGGTTGGTAATGTGCTGTGTATAACATAAATGTATTAACCTGTGAAAGTATGGTGTCATGGGTACACTACAGCAGACAAACAGAATGCTAGATTTATTTCCTTGTTTTTTACTTATCATATCTTATTGTTCCCATTTAAGGACAAGCCAGTAATATGTTATCGGTAGGTGCATGTATAAGCCGTGCCGTATCTGTTCGGCCCGTTTAGAACGTGACTTTCTCACTTCTATTTCCGGTGGTAAAGCGGAATTAACTTGAATACTTCGATTTCAAAGTAATGGTCGTCCAGATTCAACGACTCCTATCTGACTTCCGTAACCTTTGACCTATTTTGAGTTTCTGAATCTCGATCACTAGGGTTTGACGAGTGTTTTCCTTGTCTACTTGTCAATATTTTTGTTTCATGTCAGAATTTCCTAATACTAATTAAAATACATTAACTTTTTCCTGGCAATGTAGTTATATTCTGTAATCAGAGGAAATGTAAGGGACTGTTAATGACACTTGCCGAGTCATAGATACGGTGATCGACAAACTTGCTGTTCTATTAGACGAATTTCAATAATCTCGGTAAAGATTAACATATTTCAAATCAAATCTAAATTTGTATTAGACATTCAAATGTATGGATAGTATAAATATAAGCAAGTATCTAGCTCAATGTATTTATAGTCGTTATAAATGACAAATTGTTGACGACAAGCATGCCGTATTGTACTACAAGCGCTGTATAATATCTGCCTGCTTAGCTGTAGTGTAATGGTTGTCTTAAGCATTAGTTCCTTCTCTGGAGACAGATCTGTCCTTGTTCTTACCGAGTTTGTATCTCACTGCACTATGACAATTAAGTTAAAGTTATCAAAAATGCATAAATTTCCGTTGTACTATCAGCATTATCTTTCTATTGTGTACAATTGTACATTGTAATCAGTAAACATCCAACATATTGGTCTTTTCAGTTACTTTTATTGCATGCATATCAATACACTGTGTCCTTTAGTACCACAACAGCTAGCCTCTGGCTAAGTTAGCCAAATTACTAGAAATATTTAAACAATGAACTGAAGGGCGCCATTCTATTTGTCGTCCAGCCGGATTGGCTTCATATCTGCAGTATACACCATGTGGTAACAGTTTATATATATTTCGATCCTCTCAGTAAGTAAAGACATTTTGTTTGTGACAGATTCTACCTTTGTAATGTGGACTGTCAGATCGACGTCAACTGTAGCAGACGAAGTTGACAAACTTGGTAATCGAGTGTGCAATTGCGGTTATAATGCTTTTGTGGTAAAATTACGTATTTGACAATGTTCTGCAATGATTTTATAGCTTTGTAAAGTTACTCTTTTTGTGAAGGCCTTCTTTAAGTCCACATGTCAGCACACTGTATATTGACACCGAAATGAAAGTGACCGGCGGCCAGTTTTGTTTACCTAGGAGACACTGACCGAATCACTAGAAATTGTAGGATGCTGTCTCATATACTACAATAGGTACAGTAATGATATATAGGCAAATACAACACAGAATGTTAAATATTCATATCTACCAGGATTACTTTGTGCGGGACAACTAATCTTGACCATCGAATATGTATTTATACAATTGACCAGATGGGCGTTCATAACCTGATACACTCCCATCTGGTTTACCTAGAATTAAAACGATAAACTGGTGACAGAACAGAAATACGTATATAGTATGCTTTAAATTATGGCCCGATCAACATATAAGTAAGTAGATAGACCATTAGCGAATATCTTTATTGCATTGATGCTGTAAGGTGACCACTGAAACTTGGGGAAGGTTTAGCTGCGGCGAGGGTAGCGTTGTCACTTGCTCCATGAAGATGACGGATCTATACCTGTTGTCCGACACGACACTCGACTACCACTACTTGTGTCGCCTGGTCGAAACCTGGCGAGTTGGCTTGGAGACGGCCAATTTGAATGGTGTCCATGGCCATTTCACTGTCTAAGGTACCACCCAGTTTGGACGAAACGGTTGAGGCAAACTGGAAAATGCCATGTTGTGGACACGTGAACCGGCCGTTCGTGACATTGTAGCCAGCACCTTGGTTGGTGTGAATGTGATTGAAGATAACTGTCTCCTGGTCGCTAAGTTGGACGTTTGGGCCGTATATCTGGGCATCAAAACCGATGTTTGGATCAGCCGCTCTTCTAAATGGTAGTACGAGGGATAAATAACTGAAGGAACAGCACTGGAACATTTTTTTTAAATTTGAAATTGGAGTTGACATTGCGATGATGTTAGTCATTAAACATATATATAACTGGCTTAGATCTACTGAACTATATTTTGCTTTAATATCTAATTCGCTGAGGCATCAGGAATTAGCCATTGGCGCCTGATGTTTATAAACAAAGTTTTAACCTTTAACCAAAGAGTAGAGGATCCCCATTGTGATCAATTAAAATGACAACAACCGGTGTATTTTGTAAACATTTCAACATGCTTTTTCAAAAGGAGTTTGCAATATATCATGAAAACTCTCAACTGTATTATATTGCGTCTTTGAATCTGTTGTTGCTATATATGATAAGTTTTTATTACATAATTTACATACATTTAAAGGGTTTTTAAATCGCTCGATATTTTAATGATACTCTGTCCTGCCTTTTTCTATGTCCATCGTTGTATCATCTTGGAGATCGTGAGCTCGAACCGTTAGTTTTTCCAATTGATCTTCATTAGTGTAAGTAGAAAAAACCACATCGGTAGAGTCTCAAGCAGGACTGGAGAGGACAACGGGACAGAGACAGACAAAAGTCATACACGTCCCTTAGTATTGTCAGTAGTGTAAAGAATTTTCTCTTTTGTGTAGTGGATTTCAAAATTTTAGACTAGGAACAAGGTAACATTGACATTTTTCGGTTGGAAATCACAGACTGGTGTTTTAGACAATCCAATTATAACTTAATATTTGGATAGATGTTCTGAAGTGCTGATTTTCCCCAGTGAATTTTGAGCATCAGAAAGATTTTTTTTCTGCCTTAAAACTTTCAACGTTTGATAAACTAAATATTTCTTATGTATCACAGTTGTGAAAACTATCTCCTCAAAACCTTAGACAAAAATGATGGAATAGCAAAACAGCTGATTATACGAAGAATAGGTCTACATTTTTGTGAGATATTTTAAATATTTACATTTCAAGTTTTTTTATTTGTACAAAAGGAATTCACAAAAGCCCCCCAATAAATTAGAAATATACATCATTGTGAAGGCACTTGATATAATGAAAAATTAATTACTCTCCAAGCCGTGTGTGTATTTTATCATCTGCGGTCAGTTGTCCGAGTACACATATTGTGTAAACCAGACCGTAGGTGAAAGAGGACGCCATGTTGGTCTTCACAAATATAATGTGTAAACTCACTATGAAGAATGTTATCTGTCAATGGGGCGAAGTAGGAGAGCATTGCATAAACTCGGACAAGATAAACCACTCTGTTATTCCATAACAGTATTCATTTATTCATTGTTCTTTGAGTTTCCATATCTCAGTACAGAATACTTAACAAGGTACTGCCATTTTTTTTATCGTTATCCAAAATCATGTGTTTACATATAGGAATCATATAACATAGAATATAAATATAACACAAATAGTTTCTGCTTACTTCTTTTGTGGTTTTCTGAGGATTTTTAAAATTTTCGTTTGAAGGCCTATGCTATGTAAAAATGTATGTGATAACCTTTTGACGTGATAAATTTGAATGAGTTGTTTCGAAATTGTTGAATGATACATCAACTTTATCGTAATATTTGTTTATTTGATGTCTTTTTAAAACAAGTTTTAGTTTTTGTAGTCTCTTCGACTTGACTCGATCCTCAGACAACGTAGAGAACACCAAAAGTCAACAAATCGTAGCTTAAACTCACTGATTAAAGTAAGGTAAGATATACCCCTGAATGGGGAGAATAAGACCATTTCTCGTGTTTTTAAGTTTTAAGAAAGTAAATATTCACTGATTCAACATGATAATATCTTCGTGGATTCCATATTTGACACGAAACACTATAACCCGGTATATGGACAGGTGACCTCAGGTTAAGTTCACATAGAGCAATGCACATCGATGTCAACAATTAAACAATGACATTTCAACAGAGTATTTGTTTAAACTCCAAACCGATGAAACCAAGGCAGCATTTGACCAAACGACAGATTTCGCTGTAATTTTTTATTAAAAAAAACAATAAAAGCAAAATAAGGTCAGGAATCCGAAAACGTAAAACGTCTTCTGTAGCGTCGTCATATAGGTCAATTAGGGTATGTAATGTCAAGCTCTCAAAATGAGAGCCAGGTCAACCACAACGACACCAAAACAAATCACAAGTAACATAATACTGATCAGCAGCAGATGTTTATTTACATTTATAATAGATTTACAAGATGGCCGCTGAAACTTGGAAACTCTCTCTTTCCACCAAGGAGAATGGTGCCATTAGCTCCGTGGAGTTGACGGACCCATACTTGTTGTCCAACCTGGCATTCTAACACCACTACCTGCGTCGCCTGGTCCAAACCAGGCGGGTTGGCATGGAAACGTCCAACTTGAACGAAGTCCATGACCATTTCACAGTCTATAGTATCATTAGATTTGGACGGAATAGTGGAGGCAAATTGGTAGATCCCGTGTTGTGGACACGTGAAGCGGCCATTACTGACATTGTACCCTGCACCTTGGTTGGTCTGAATGTGGTGGAAGATTACTGTCTGTTGGTCTTGAAGTTGGGTATTTGGTCTAGCCACCCGCGCATCAAAACCGATGTCTGGACCAGTTACACGTCTCACTAGCATGAAAAGAGACAACAGTGCAAGAAAGTCTTGGAATAGATAATGAAAGATATTCAAATTAATAGAAAGACGCAGTTTGGTATTAGTGTTTGTTGTTGTTTGGCAACTGGCACAATTTAGGCAACAAATTGAAATCAGCAAAGTGCTGACCCTTGTAATTTCTAAATATTGCGAAATCTTTATTGCTTCTACGATTCGATTGACTTATGTGTTGACATAACTCAACATTGTAATGAGATGTAAAAATAAATTGAAAAAAAAACATACAGTATTGATTAATAGCGCTTATTCATCTCACCTTTGACTTTTGACATAACTTTGAATTCATTAGATGTGCAAATGAAAAGTATGCAATATTGATTGATAATGGTGACTTATTTGACCTGTGACCTTTGATGACATAAAGACATATACACATACCTTTGACATAACTTTACATTTTAATGAGACATGTAATTGAAAGCATATATTATTGACACTGCTGGTAGACTTTAAGTCCCCGGAGTTTGCTTCATCCTGCATGCCACGTTTTAATTCATTCGAATAGGGGCACGGTTCAGAATATACACATGTACTTGACGCTGTTCTAAAATTATCTGATGAATGAAAGTTACGAAATCTGTTAATTCTGGGACTGTTGTATCACCCTGTCTATATTTTGACTTTTCTTTCTATCACTTTGGATTTTCCTCAGTAGCCTCCTAGGCTTCTAACTTTCAAGCATTAGGCCTCCCTTAACATAATGAGTCCTAGTAGTATGTATATTTGTTACACAATTTTAATTATATAAAATTGACATCCATTGATTACCAATATACCAGTGTCCTTTATAGACTTTTAAAATGCTATTTTTAACCCCCATGTAAAACGACTGAATTCTGCTAGTTTTCATATATTGGAGTTTTTCTCTTTCTTTGGAGGAATATTGATATCATCACTTCTGTTTATGTCATAATCCTCCCTTGCCTTATCCCCATATTCGTCTGTCTTATCCTCTCTTATATCAGGTCGATTGTCCCATTCTGACATACCTTACCTGGTGTCCATAACTTGTCACTACGGCTATACGGTATGGAAATGGAAAGATTGGTTTTAACATTAACAAGAATTTATGGATTTTGGTGACTACCTATTGACCTGTATCATACACCTGCTGTGTAATCATGTGTGGAATTAAATAATTTGATATGCAACCTCCAATGACATATAAAGCTGTGCGAATTAAATGCCATTGCAATATCCACAGCCAATACTAGTACCAGGATCATAGGAATGGATGTTACGGAGATCTTTACAACAATCAAGAGTAGGCAGGAAAGAAATGATTGATTTATCACACTAAGTATCTGTTTTCTTATGTAATTATTGCCCGATCTATCGGTCACGTGATTCCGACCGTTTATCCCTATAGGCTCCTTGTTTCCTTTGCGATTCCATGGATCTGACCCTGGAAATCGTCAAATCAATTGTATGTTTTTTGGTGCAGAACAAGGATATTTGGTTAGAGGGGTGCATTTTTAAGAACTGTTTTCTGAAATTGTGTCCTGCCCCCATCTATTCCCCGGATCTGTAAATGGCTAAGTTTACTCGACGTCCTGAACACTTGTGCTTGCTGTACTTTATGATTTTATGACGAGTCCTACCTCTTTCATTTTCCAGACTTGCATCAAGTTTGTCTGCTCGAAGCTTGATATCTTCCAGCTGAATTTCATTAGCGTGAGCAGAATAGTCCACATTAGCTGCCAAAGTCTCCAGAAAGGCTAAAGTTTACATAAAACAACAGAGATACACAACAAGTTACAGGCCATCATATGAGTTGATTTCAGTTTTATTTATTTATGTATTGGTATTGGAATAACACATTTTTCATCCATTTTTTTCAATATTCTAAGTACATATAGTTCAATAAGATTGGAAATCTCTTGTTTGCAGTTGCACATAGAATAATTTGTATGAAATCTCTTGTTTGCAGTTGCACATAGAATAATTTGTATGCTCAAAGTCTATATATTAATCATAAACTATAAAAAACAGCCTTGACAGAATATGATTTAGATAAACAAAACAATATCAGAGAATCATTTCCTACACAGCATGATATTGCAGGTTCTACATCAGTTCTAAAACATGTCATCTACAGAGTAACTGTAGACACTCAAATTTCAAAAACAAAACCATAATAGTACAGTATGTTAGGTAAGCTTGATTAATACAGTTTGTGGTATCTCAAACCTTATGTGGAAAGTGCAAATGAGGCATAAGTGGTTTTTCGAACATCTGTAATTATATGGCAGTAAAAATCTATATTATAGGAATTTGAAATGCAGATTTGATTTGTAAGAAATGATAGACAGGATATTTAATCATTTTCCGTTTATTATCATTGATATTTCACAGTATGACTGAATTTCTATATTTCATAAGCGTGAAAAATGAAGATGTGTTATATTATACAAGTAAAATATCTCTGATATTTACATGTAACAGGAACCCATTACTGTTCTTTTCTTCATCTTCTGATGTAATCATGTACATGTGCAAGAATGGATTACAATTATTGTATATGCTATATTATACAAAAGTGGAATGAAGTTATCATGTCCCTTGTGAAAACAGTTGATAAGAGTATTTTTTTATCTCTGTTTTATGTATAGGTTTTTGTACTCGGCACGTTTCAATTTAACATTATGTGACGTCACAAGAAATCCTGACGTCATCATATGCATGACAAATTGGAAGCACGTCTGTAGAATATTTCTGTCTTTGCAATCGCAGTTGTAATGTGTCATCTAATACATTTCAATTAAATATAATATAGATATAAAAAGTTTGGGCGTATATTGCTATGGTTTGCTCACCAATACGATTGTCGATATCATCTGCTGCTGTCAGCTGTCCATAGCCGAGAATGAATACAGTATAAATTATGCCGAACGTCACAAAGAACGCCATGTTTGTCTGCATAAGATTGATATGTTTACTTGGCGAAACTATCAAGAAGGCTTATCTATATAATCTGTAATGTGTGCGCGCATTGTATGGAATAAGAGAAGATAAAGGCATACCAAAGATAGCTAGGTACTGTTACCGTATTGTCTACCAAACGTCTTCGATATTTGTATGTTAACATAAACCAGAAATATAACTTACCACGGTGTGTTTAAACTTTATATCTATTGGTTGATGGAGGTTAAACATCGAGTGTATAATGTATATTGTACATACAAAATGGGTTTTTAATTTATTAAGACCCGAGCATTTACGAGTTTGTTTTTTTGTTTTGTTTTTTTTGTTTTTTTTTTTTTCTTGTTTGTTTGAAAATTATGGGTTACTTTTTCTGTCACCACTGTGATTTCATTGAGAAATCTATCTCTATTTCTTCATGCGATATGAAACTGGGCGTGTTTGATACTCGTTAGTTAATTTGTTGGTTCCATTTTTTATACCTTGTCCTTATTTCAGAACGTGACATTACTTTCTTGGAGTGTCAAAGATTTGCATGACGGGGATCGTCGTAAATCTTTCTTTTCTTCCTATTTTGCCCTTGTTTTATTGAATTAGAGTTTGGATTATGCTTATGCTGACAAGTTGACATTTTCTTTTTGTACTTGTTTGTGAAAATGCCACGCTTATATGAAACATATGTCTTTGATCGATTGATTAGGAACAGCACAATCCATGTTTCTCCAGTATACATGTTGCATTTAGCACCAAGTACAACAGGTATTACCAAATATTCTGACTCGGTCAACACAAAATAAAACAAGAAACTGGTTACAGGACAGGTTTTATTACATTAGAGATATAAGATGACCACTAAAACTTGGGAGATAAGTGACTCCAATGAGGGTAGCAGTGTCGTTAGCCCTATGGAGATGACGGATCCATACCTGTTGTCCGACTCGACACTCAACTACCACTACTTGTGTTGCCTGGTCAACGCCCTTTGTGTTTGCATGAAGGCGTCCAATCTGGATCCTATCCCTGACCATTTCACAGTCTATGGTACCTAACGCTTTGGATGGAATACTAGTAGTCGAGGCAAACTGATATATTCCATGTTGTGGACACGTGAAGCGGCCGGTCGTGACATTGTACCCTGCACCTTGGTTGGTCTGTACGTGGTTGAAGATTACTGTCTGATGATCAGTAAGTTGGAATTTAGCACCGTGAAATCGAGCATCGAAACCAATATTTGGAACAGCTTGTTGTTTCGCTAGTGATAAAAACCGGTAGGACATACAATGAACAAAAACTGAAATTGAATTATCAGAAATAAGAATGCGACATATCTTGAAACAATGACCTTCTTAACAAGACAGAAACATTTAAGTTAAGTGACGAATTTGAAATCAATACGAAGGAAACCATTACTTTAAATAGCTTTTATATCGTTGACAATAAGGTATCTCGTAGCTTATGTCTACGTTGGTCATCTTGTTCAAGAACAAATACGTTAGTTACGTCCTATACAAAATACATGGTCCTGAAACTAGGACTTTTCCACAAACATGAAGCCATTTGTTCAAAGTTATATTGTTAAACGTATCGCTATTAAATTTTACAACAGATCGACTGACTCGGATTCAATAAATTGCATGATGTCATTATTTGGCTTTCTTGTGGCTTATACAAAATTGAAATGAAAATGTACTACCTTCTTATGTGCCTATTAGGAATTATTTGCAAGAGGAAGACCAGTATCTCTCTATATATCTTTTAGTTTGCAAAATGAATGATTTGCATTTGTTAAAACATCAGTTAATTTACTCATTTGTGATGATGTTTTCAGTAAGGCACAATGTATATCTACTGGTTATAAACAAACCTTATCATTCATAAATACCAATTAATTAAAATGAATTAGTTTGTAGTATGATAAATGACTTCATTACGTTGCCCCTTCAGGACAATTTTTTCCGAACCTTTTTTTTCGAGGAAGTCTATACTGCTTTTTGTTGTTTTTTTAATAATGCATCCATTTAAACTTTTACCGTAGATTATGCTAACCAATTTTACCCTTTACTCCATCCAGCCTTGAACTACCTTGCAATGTATGTGCTCGTAGCTTCAGTTTTTCCAGCCAAACTTCATTAGAGTTAGTGGAAGATATAACGTTAGCTGCCAATTTCTCAAGATCACCTAAAGTAGATCAATAGTAAAATAGATCAATAGTAAAATAAATCAATAGTAAATAGATCAATGGTAAAGTAAATCAATTGTAAAATAAATCAATAGTAAAATATATCAATAGTAAAATAGATCAATAGTAAAATAGATCAATAGTAAATAAATCAATAGTAAAATAAATCAATAGTAAAATAAATCAATAGTAAAATAGATCAATAGTAAAATAAATCAATAGTAAAATATATCAATAGTAAAATAGATCAATAGTAAAATAAATCAATAGTAAAATATATCAATAGTAAAATAGATCAATAGTAAAATAAATCAATAGTAAAATAGATCAATAGTAAATAAATCAATAGTAAAATAAATCAATAGTAAAATATATCAATAGTAAAATATATCAATAGTTAAATAGATCAATAGTAAAATAGATCAATAGTAAAATAAATCAATAGTAAAATAAATCAATAGTAAAATAGATCAATAGTAAAATAAATCAATAGTAAAATATATCAATAGTAAAATAGATCAATAGTAAAATAAATCAATAGTAAAATATATCAACAGTAAAATAGATCAATAGTAAATAGATCAATAGTAAATAGATCAATAGTAAAACAGATCAATAGTAAAATAGATCAATAGTAAATAAATCAATAGTAAAATAAATCAATAGTAAAATAGATCAATAGTAAATAGATCAATAGTAAATAGATCAATAGTAAAATAGATCAATAGTAAAATAGATCAATAGTAAATAAATCAATAGTAAATAGATCAATGGTAAAGTAAATCAATTGTAAAATAAATCAATAGTAAAATATATCAATAGTAAAATAGATCAATAGTAAAATAAATCAATAGTAAAATAGATCAATAGTAAATAAATCAATAGTAAAATAAATCAATAGTAAAATATATCAATAGTAAAATATATCAATAGTAAAATAGATCAATAGTAAAATAGATCAATAGTAAAATAAATCAATAGTAAAATAAATCAATAGTAAAATAGATCAATAGTAAAATAAATCAATAGTAAAATATATCAATAGTAAAATAGATCAATAGTAAAATAAATCAATAGTAAAATATATCAACAGTAAAATAGATCAATAGTAAATAGATCAATAGTAAATAGATCAATAGTAAAACAGATCAATAGTAAAATAGATCAATAGTAAATAAATCAATAGTAAAATAAATCAATAGTAAAATAGATCAATAGTAAATAGATCAATAGTAAATAGATCAATAGTAAAATAGATCAATAGTAAAATAGATCAATAGTAAAATATATCAATAGTAAATAAATCAATAGTAAATAGATCAATAGTAAATAGATCAATAGTAAAATAGATCAATAGTAAAATAGATCAATAGTAAATAAATCAATAGTAAAATATATCAATAGTAAAATAGATCAATAGTAAATAGATCAATAGTAAATAAATCAATAGTAAATAGATCAATAGTAAAATAGATCAATAGTAAAATAAATCAATAGTAAAATATATCAATAGTAAAATATATCAATAGTAAATAAATCAATAGTAAATAGATCAATAGTAAATAGATCAATAGTAAAATAGATCAATAGTAAAATAGATCAATAGTAAATAAATCAATAGTAAAATATATCAATAGTAAAATAGATCAATAGTAAATAGATCAATAGTAAATAAATCAATAGTAAATAGATCAATAGTAAAATAGATCAATAGTAAAATAAATCAATAGTAAAATATATCAATAGTAAAATAGATCAATAGTAAAATAGATCAATAGTAAAATAAATCAATAGTAAAATAAATCAATAGTAAATAGATCAATAGTAAAATATATCAATAGTAAAATAGATCAATAGTAAAATAGATCAATAGTAAAATATATCAATAGTAAAATAAATCAATAGTAAAATAAATCAATAGTAAAATATATCAATAGTAAAATAGATCAATAGTAAAATAGATCAAAAGTAAAATAAATCAATAGTAAAATAGATCAATGGTAAAATAAATCAATAGTAAAATAAATCAATAGTAAATATATCAATAGTTAAATAAATAGGCCAAAATACGATAACTACTCGTCGATCCAGACATTAATATTGATAAAATAAGTAAGCACTCTCCAATTTGCCAGCCCCGTCCCCTTTTTCGGGTGGATGGGAGGGATCTGATATAACTTGTAACACTTATGGGGATTTCATCATAGGTAATCACGATTTTAGGATTGTCTGGACTAAGAATTGTTTTGACTTACATTTATAAACATCGTTAATATGTGCATGTTTACTCTGTCTAGTGCAGAAATAATACATCATACCATTTACTGACAATAGAAACAAATGATAATGCATTTACTTAAAATCATTATATTTGTATTACATACATATTGTTGTAATATAACACAATATTCGAGCGCAGCATTGACTAGATGACTTATTGTGACGTCACAAGTCACCAATTATGCAACTAGTGATGTATTGATTGATTTATACACTTAACTCTATTGACTATATAATATAAAATCGTTTGAGATAATTCTGAGAGTTACTCACCAACGCGAGTGTCTATTTCTCCTTCTGCTGTTACTTGTCAATAGCCGAAAACAAGTATTGTATAGAAAATACCACAGGTCAAAGAGAGCGCCATGTTTACGTACAAACGTTATATATATGTTGATGTTACTTATCTTTGTATATCCGGTGTTTGTGTCGCATACACCGTCAGACAAGATAAATATGACATCGTCAAGTATTACTGCTAAACTAAAACCCTTTTATTTCATTTCGATATTTTGAATCACACCTTTGAACACATATTCAGTAAATAGAATAGCGAATAATGAAATGTTGTAAAAGTAGTCATAAACCATAGACCGTTCTATAAATTCTATTATATATGCTTATCACATCAAGCAATATAATGAAATTTTAACCAAAAAAACAAACTTTAGGTAAATAAGATGAAAAATCAAACGGAAGGCGTTGAATTATTAATGGGGAATTACAGGTTTGCATTCACACGATTAATAAATGTCGGACCTCGTTATTTCGAAGTCGGCGGGCGCGTAGGGAAAATTATTCGATTAAACGACGTCGAAAATTAGGTGTGAAGTTCGGCCGGGACTTCGAGTTCGAGACAAGACAAGAACCAGTGTAATGTTATTAATGAGGAGACAGGTAACAATACGATCTATCTAACACGCTGGAAAGAGAAATACTATGTCAATGTTAAATTGTTTATATAAATAACATTGGAATATAGGATTTCTGCAATGTTTGACAAGAGGTCGTGTTTAGATCGTAGAACTTCACCTTAAGTTTGTACAGGTTGTTTGGGCAGTAATTCTAAAGAGGAAATATCACTGGATTTAATTTATTGTTCTAAATGAAAATAATAATTTACGAACTTCGTGACAAAATGTTACTGCCAATTGCAAATTGCGAAGCCTGTTTGTGTTATCGGGTGTTTATTCCAAGTAACTTGTTAAAACGAAATAACAGTTCACATTCATATTTCCCTACAGACAAAATAGTTAGTTCCGACATTAGTTTGGAGTACAGTGTACAGCGAGTTGCATTTTCAGAGGATGTAAGATCGGATGGTATCACTTAAACAAGAAGTACGTCGATATTAATCTCTTCGCAGAAACCTAGAACCGTAATGAACATCGTTTTGTTCTAAAGCAACACTTGTCGCACCAATCCTATAAGTATACATAGCTGTAACATCTAACTAGGTAGCGACTAAAGCAACACTTGCCGCGCCAATCCTATAAGTATACATAGCTGTAACATCTAACTAGGTAGCGACTAAAGCAACACTTGTATCAATCCTATAAGTATACATAGCTGTAACATCTAACTAGGTAGCGACTAAAGCAACACTTGTCGTATCAATCCTATAAGTATACATAGCAGTAACATCTAACTAGGTAGCGACTAAAGCAACACTTGTATCAATCCTATAAGTATACATAGCTGTAACATCTAACTAGGTAGCGACTAAAGCAACACTTGTATCAATCCTATAAGTATACATAGCTGTAACATCTAACTAGGTAGCGACTAAAGCAACACTTGTATCAATCCTATAAGTATACATAGCTGTAACATCTAACTAGGTAGCGACTAAAGCAACACTTGTATCAATCCTATAAGTATACATAGCTGTAACATCTAACTAGGTAGCGACTAAAGCAACACTCATCGCACCAATCCTATAAGTATACATAGCTGTAACATCTAACTAGGTAGCGACTAAAGCAACACTTGTATCAATCCTATAAGTATACATAGCTGTAACATCTAACTAGGTAGCGACTAAAGCAACACTTGTATCAATCCTATAAGTATACATAGCTGTAACATCTAACTAGGTAGCGACTAAAGCAACACTTGTATCAATCCTATAAGTATACATAGCTGTAACATCTAACTAGGTAGCGACTAAAGCAACACTCATCGCACCAATCCTATAAGTATACATAGCTGTAACATCTAACTAGGTAGCGACTAAAGCAACACTTGTCGTATCAATCCTATAAGTATACATAGCTGTAACATCTAACTAGGTAGCGACTAAAGCAACACTCATCGCACCAATCCTATAAGTATACATAGCTGTAACATCTAACTAGGTAGCGACTACGCATTAGTTTTCAGACTTTCACATGAGTTAAATTCAGCATCCATAACGTACATCCTGTAGAACGATTTTGTTGTTGCATAGCTCGTGCAGATATGAGCCATGCGACACTCAGAATTTCCAGAATATATAGAGCGGAATTCTCCTTAACTGGGGGTACGTTCATGCGGACGGAATCGACATCCCCTGCCAGTTAATGGTTATATGTGTTTCGCAGATGTAATAGTAAAGTAGATGACAAAAATTTGAATTTGAAACAAAAAAAATAGATAAATAAAGCAACATAGAAAAGACCTCGACACAAATTATCAACAATACTTCTCTGTTTTGTTGTTTTATTTTTCGTCTTTTTTACAAAAAAACTAGTACATTTGAATAAGATGGCCGGAGAATGTACAGAATCCTCCCGGTAGTCCGAAACGAGAGTGTGTAGCCTGTCGGATCAATACACGCTGACCCTTATTGCAGTGGGCCACAGCCACCTGTGTTCCCATGTCATACTCGTACAGAGTGGCATGGACGTATGCGATTTCGGTAGACTCCATCATCATCTACAAAACATATATCATACTATTATAATATGAATTGGCCGATGACCACGTGATCAAGTTGTAGATATATCTTAACAGTGATACAGGTATGAAGCTAAATATTCAACAGCAAGATATCTTCCCTATTGCAAGTGTCGACATCTGAAAAGGTCTGCACAATGCTATTTATCTCAAGACATTCTACTAATTGTTCAAATATAATTTTGGTTTTCTATATTTATCATCTTGAAAACATACTTCATTTTACACTTTTTGTCAAATTTTCAAAATAATTATTTGATCACGATGAAGGTTAGTGGTATAGTTCACACCGTTTGATGTACTTCTTGACCAGATCATTTGCATAACCTCAGTTTTGACAGAAGATTTTTTATTTGTTAGGTATAATATTTCTGACGTCAATCCCTATAAACCATCGACTAATTTACTTGTCCGTATGTCTTCAAATGACGACTTTGAAATTTATTCAAACATTTAACTATAGAAAGTGGATTTCAAACATCAAATGATATTGAAATGTGTATCAGTACAACAGAAATGTATAAGGTATATATCGTTTACCTGGAAATTGAGATTGTGATGTTCTCCGGCAGATACTATTGTAGTTGCAAACTCGTATAGTCCGGTGAGGGGGCAAGTAAACACCCCGGTATTATTGTTGTAGGCGTTCTGTACGTTTACAGTGGCATCCTCGAACACTATAGTCTGGTGAAGGGTTATGCTGGTCAGGTTCTGTTGTCGAGTAGCAAAGAATGCTACGACAGGAGTGGCTGTCACTCTTTTGTCAACTGTTCAAAAATATTAGTGAAATGTCAGTATTTATCAAGAACATTTAAAAATTGATTTCGAGGTTGAGATACCGGGTGATATTATCAGGCATGCGGAGGTGTACATCTATATATATTTGTCAATACAGCTGCCGTAATAGAAACGGTTTTGAACAAGTTTGAAAACAACATATTCTTGTTCAAGCTCTTTGTGAGACACATCGGAAGATGAGACATCCCTGATTTGTTTCTGTGATACAGAGTATTCTCGTGAGATTTTTGTCTTGCTTTTATATATAAAGCCGAGTAAAGAAGATGAGGATAACTGCAGAAGTTCTAATGAACCGTTCTTCTGATTTGATCTCGCCTTGAACATTTAAATGAAATGCAAAAACTGAACGAATATAATCAATTCATTACAATCATAATAAACATGGTCTGGAACCCATTTCATTTACCTGTTAAAGCATTCTTCAGTGTGTCTTCCGAACGTTGCACCGTCTCTAACTGTTGTTTCAGCTTCTGTATGACCTTGTTCTGATGCACGGTCTTAGTCTGAACCTCCCCAAGCATCTGTTCTAAAGCGTCTGAAAGAATACCACGGACTCGAAGACAAGTATGTACATGTTGTGGTCAAAAATTTGGAAATGGAAAAGGGATTCATGAAAAATAGTAGGGAATGGTCCAATATAAGGTTACAAACATAATCTAAATGCTACCTGTGTATAGATCTGTTTGCCATATTACAATACAATCATATTTTACAGGAGAATTTCAGAGCATCTTTACATTCGTGTATGAGGAAATTCAAAACTGTTCATTATGTGAAGAAAAATGTTGCAACAAAAAACTTTTTGTCAGAACTACTAACTGGTATCAGTACGACGAGTGGCATAAACTGGTATCAGTACGACAGTGTTAGAGTGGCATAAACTGGTGATGTTTGAACTACAAACTGGTATCAGTACGACGGTGTAAGAGTGGCATAAACTGGTATCAGTACGACGGTGTTATAGTGGCATAAACTGGTGTTGTTAGAACTACAAACTGGTATCAGTACGACGGTGTTAGAGTGGCATAAACTGGTGTTGTTAGGACTACAAACTGGTATCAGTACGACGGTGTTAGAGTGGCATAAACTGGTGTTGTCAGAACTACAAACTGGTATCAGTACGACGGTGTTAGAGTAGCATAAACTGGTATAAGTACGACGGTGTTAGAGTGGCATAAAATGGTGTTCTTAGAACTACAAATTGATATCAGTACGACGTTGTTAGAGTGGCATAAACTGGTATCAGTACGACAATGTTAGAGTGGCATAAACTTGTGTTGTTTGAACTACAAACTGGTATCAGTACGACAGTGTTAGAGTGACATAAACTGGTATCAGTACGACAGTGTTAGAGTGACATAAACTATGTTGTTAGAACTACAAACTGGTATCAGTACGACGGTGTTAGAGTGGCATAAACTGGTATCAGTACGACAGTGTTAGAGTGGCATAAACTGGTGTTGTTAGAACTACAAACTGGTATCAGTACGACAGTGTTAGAGCGGCATAAACTGGTATCAGTACGACAGTGTTAGAGTGGCATAAACTGGTATCAGTACGACAGTGTTAGAGTGGCATAAACTGGTGTTGTTAGAACTACAAACTGGTATCAGTACGACGGTGTTAGAGTGGCATAAACTGGCATCAGTACGACAGTGTTAGAGTGGCATAAACTGGTGTTGTTAGAACTACAAACTGGTATCAGTACGACAGTGTTAGAGCGGCATAAACTGGTATCAGTACGACAGTGTTAGAGTAGCATAAACTGGTATCAGTACGACAGTGTTAGAGTGGCATAAACTGGTGTTGTTAGAACTACAAACTGGTATCAGTACGACGGTGTTAGAGTGGCATAAACTGGTATCAGTACGACAGTGTTAGAGTGGCATAAACTTGTGTTGTTTGAACTACAAACTGGTATCAGTACGACAGTGTTAGAGTGACATAAACTGGTATCAGTACGACAGTGTTAGAGTGACATAAACTGTGTTGTTAGAACTACAAACTGGTATCAGTACGACGGTGTTAGAGTGGCATAAACTGGTATCAGTACGACAGTGTTAGAGTGGCATAAACTGGTGTTGTTAGAACTACAAACTGGTATCAGTACGACAGTGTTAGAGCGGCATAAACTGGTATCAGTACGACAGTGTTAGAGTGGCATAAACTGGTATCAGTACGACAGTGTTAGAGTGGCATAAACTGGTGTTGTTAGAACTACAAACTGGTATCAGTACGACGGTGTTAGAGTGGCATAAACTGGTATCAGTACGACAGTGTTAGAGTGGCATAAACTGGTGTTGTTAGAACTACAAAATGGTATCAGTACGACGGTGTTAGAGTGGCATAAACTGGTATCAGTAGGACAATGCTAGAGTGGCATAAACTGGTTTTGTTAGAACTACAATCTGGTATCAGTACGACAGTGTTAGAGTGGCATTAACTGGTGTTGTTAAAGCATGATCATTGCAGAATTGTAATGCTCCATATTTCAATACATGTTTATGAATAGCCATTTGTTATGTTGTACGACATGAGTAGTTATCATATAGATATGAATCGTCATGCTTTCCCGTCGTGGAAAATTCTTGTTGAGTCAATACTACTGCAGTGAACTTACTTTTATCAAAAGGATGCTGAATATAGTCGGTTCACTTCTGATAGGCAAGGCAGAGATTTAGCATAGACTTCCGGTATTTAAACAGTGAATTAATACCAGGCGTATCTATTATTGTATAATAGATATTGAATTATATCTAAGTGAAATAAATTCCAGTATAGATTTTATTTCTGTTTGGAGGGGGAGGAGGATTAATTGTAATTAAACAGAGATAGGGACACAAGAAACCAAACAATCATTTATTCTCATAGACACCAGAACGGTATTTTGAAGATCAAGCCAGGTCTTCATGTCTTCCTATCGACAACATATCAATATTGTAAACAAAATGATTTTTTGAAATATCCTCCTTGTAAATCCGATTAATTTACTTCTTTTTCGAATCTTGTCCTCGTTTTAGCTATTTTTACATGTGGATTGTTCACGCATAAATAATTTCGTTTTCTTTTTTCTCTAATAAGTCAAGAACTAACTCTCAATAATAAAAAAAACCTGATCAACTGACCCACTCTGCTCTCGTAATCCAGGCAGTTCCCCACAGCAGCAAGAGTCAGTACGATCGCAAAAATCCACATCTTCATCTTGAAAGTGTAGAGAAACTGTATGAAGAATTATTTGTTCAGACAAGTACGATATAACACCAGATTGTTATACGTCCGTCTTATCAATGGACAGAGCATGTGTCCCAATTACTTATCATCTGTTCGCTAGATTGACCCATAACAGACCTGGACGAGGTACCATCATGTCGGCGTTGTTCGTATTCGGATTGTTGACATTGCTGTCCTTTGCGAGCTGCAACCAACTGGACTTGATTCAGCGCTTGGGTTTGTGTCTCGGAATAGTCTTGATGTATACAAACTGAAACGTTTTGTTTCCATGATTATGTGAATGCCATTAAGTAATTGTTGTTTCTAACTAGACTTCAGTTCAGTTGTCCTGTTGCCTCTAGCATTACTGACAAGTCATAGTTTAATTCATTGATTTTAATTGCCGAATCTAATGAAAATAATAATAATTCACTTTTGTGCCTTTTGTACAATCCTTTTAAGTTTACCAAAACATACTGAGTTTTTATTTTATTTACGTATGTTGTGCGATGTTTGTTACACATATATATATGGTACTCGATCTCATTAAACGTTTGTTGTTCGTAAAATTACCGTAACTTTGTTTCTATTTTTAAGACGATCTTGAAAATGAATGGCGCCAGGCTGAAGCTGTTGTGTCACAGCAGGCTAGTGAAATACAGTCTCTAACAGCCCAACTGCGAACCAGAGAAATTTCTGTTGGTCAACTCAAACACAGCATATGTAAGTCAGTTGTCACAAGCAATAAGAATGTTTAAACATAGAGAATTATTAGGGAAGCAAAATTCAGAAAGTCCGTGGATAAAGCACAAAGCTAAGTAAACAACACATCCCCGGGATTTAGAGACTGGCTATCTATCGACTACACCCGTGTAAGATCAAACTAAACAACCTAATAACTTTAATTCAATATACGGTTCCAAAAACTTTTAAATGTCATTAACATTCTGACATACCAACAGAATCTCAATTCAAAGTCAAATCAATGAAACGAAGGCAAAAACTGAACAGAGAAAAGACCAGAGATTCTCTTGCACAAGAGGCCTTATGGTCCTATATCGCCCATCTCTTCTGCAGCTTATATCTGTCTTCATAATTTTGAAATTTTGTTTTGGTAAATTTCATGTTGATATCGAACATTATACTGCGGGCTGTATAGGTATATATTGGAGTCTGGAGTAACCTGATAGTCCTTCATTTCAGCGTAGAGCTGACCCCATATCATGAACCAGGGCATCTTGGTTATTGAGAAGAAATCATTCAAAGATTTTAATGCATTAATCCGTGCGACCTTGAAAATCGGCCAAAGTCATTCATTTGAGCAAATCTGGCAGTTCTTCGTTCAACATGTTACTGTTCCTAAATGCCGGCCTAGGATATCTTGGTTATACAACTGTGATATTAAAGGTGGATCAAGGTCATTCATTCAAACAAATCTGGTAGCAGTTACATGCTACAAGGCCAATATCATGACCTTTTGTATTCTGTTAATGAAGAGAATTTTGTTATATAGGGAAAGGTGTTCGTCGGACGGGAATGGTTTTTGACAGTCGAGCTAAACAACACATAATATCAAAAATATGTACTCTGTAACAGTATTCTACTTCATAAACAACATCCGTCATGTACATCTTGGTTAATGTAAATTACTAATGTCACGTTCTCAAATGTGAACAATATCAAAAACAGCGGAACCAACATGCACACTAAAGTCGTCCAAAATTGGAGATACATTCTGTCTCAACAATTTGTGGCACAGAAAGTCGGTAGCTTCGAAAAAAATAAATCGAAAAATATTAACAAAGATGTTGGTGTATTATAGAATCAGTAAACGTTTTATGCACACAGAACTTTTACAATCATAACAGGGCTTCAGGTCAAACTTCCCTATTAAATATACGATTTTCGTTACAATATATGTGTTGAACTATAGAATTCACGGAAGTTAATTGGAGTGATCTCCCTTGGCTTGGTATATATCGTTACTGCTGACTAACATTTTCTTTGTACAAGATCAGTGTCTAAAGCTGATATAGATAATTGTTGTAACTTTGAATTATTTTATCAATGTCTTATCGATTATTTTTCAGGTATTTTCGTCATCAACGGGGAAAAAAATTCGTTTTTTTTTTATGGAGAATTTGAATTATGTTAAAAACTTGTTCTTGTTATGACGTTTCATCACATGTTTGCTACGTGGTTATACAGTTTCATTTTCGGAAACACAATAGTTCTCACGTAAATGTCGAGGGGTATCGAAGCAAATAAGTGATGTTTTAAAAATTAATTGTAATGTTATTTGATGTAGCAAGACGCCAAGCTACTGACCAAATTTACGGATTCACGGCAAGACTTAGTCAGAAAATTGCCCACTTAAACACTCAACAGGCCATTGTGTTTGACCAGGTACTCACCAATGTTGGGGCAGCATATGAGCCATCAACTGGCATTTTCGTATGTCCTTACAGGTAAATTATTTCATCATTTTTTATATTACTGTATTGTTTTACTTGCATTGATACATTAGAATGAAAAGTCAACTTATCGATCTTGTAAAAAGCAATGTCTAAAATACTGTATTATATGGTATGAAGAAGTCACCATCAAACCACTGAACGTCTGACAGACTGCATTTGATGTCGATATAAATGAGATATTGTTTTACCAATTAGTGGAATGGCGTCCGGAGTTAGATTCCTCTTATTTTAGAGAAACATTGTCGTTTTATATCCATAATTAACTATGTTATAACGAATATATAGGACGTTGACATAGAAACCTAAGTTCATGATTCAACAAACAGTTCATGAGTCATCTCGTGAGACATCCAAGCAGTTGAGTACCGCATCTTATAGTGTCATGTGACCGAGAGAGCATCATAGTCAAATGAATGTGACAGAAATAAAAATAGATCGCTCTCTACACCCCTGGACCCATCCTTGATACTCCAGGGGTTATATCACTACCCATCCTCGATACTCCAGGGGTTACAATAACTTTCTCTCTTTCTACACCCCTGGGCCCATCCTCGATACTCCAGGGGTTACAATCACTTTCTCTCTTTCACACCCCTGGACCCATCCTCGATTCTCCAGGGGTTACAATCACTTTCTTTCTTTCTACACCACTGGACCCATCCTCGATTCTCCAGGGGTTACAATCACTTTTCTCTTTCTACACCTCTGGACCGATCCTCGATTCTCCAGAGGTTACAATCACTATCTCTCTGTACACCTCTAGACCCATCCTTGATATTCCAGGGGCTACAATCATTTTCTCTCTTTCTACACCCCAGGACCCATCCTCGATTCTCCAGAGTTTACAATCATTTTCTCTCTCTACAACTCTGGAACCATCCTCGATATTGCAGGGGTTACAATCACTTTCTCTCTCTACACCTCTGGACCCAACCTCGATATTCCAGGGGTTACAATCACTTTCTCTCTTTCTACACCCCTGGACCCATCCTCGATTCTCCAGGGGTTACAATAACTTTCTCTCTCTACACCCCTGGACCCATCCTCGATTCTCCAGGGTTTACAATCATTTTCTCTCTCTACACCTCTGGACCCAACCTCGATATTCCAGGGGTTACAATAACTTTCTCTCTCTACACCCCTGGACCCATCCTCGATACTCCAGGGGTTACAATCACTTTCATTTTCTCTCTCTACACCTCTGGAACCATCCTCGATACTCCAGGGGTTACAATAACTTTCTCTCTCTACACCCCTGGACCCATCCTCGATACTACAGGGGTTACAATCACTTTCTCTCTTTACACTCTTGGAGTCATTCTTTTACTCCAAGACTATCGAGGATGGGTTCAGGGGTGTAAAGCAAAAACTATCATAACCCTTAGTGTATCGAAGAAGGGTCCAAGGATGTAGAGCGAATATTATCGTAACTCTTGGGGTATCGACAATGGGTCCAAGGGTGTAGAGAGCGATAGTGGGCGTAACCCCTGGAGTATCGAGGATGGACCCAAGGGTGTAGAAAGAGAGAAAGTTGTTGTAACCCCTGGAGTATCGAGGATGGGCAAAGGGTGTAGAGAGCGATAGTGGGCGTAACCCCTGGAGTATCGAGGAAGGGTCCAAGAGTGTAGAAAGCGATAATGGGCGTAACCCCTGGAGTATCGAGGATGGACAAAGGATGTAGAGAGCGATAGTGGGCGTAACCCCTGGAATATCGAAGATGGGCAAAGGGTGTAGAGAGTGATATTGGGCGTAACCCCTGGAGTATCGAGGATGGACAAAGGGTGTAGAGAGCGATAATGGGCGTAACCCCTGGAGAATCGAGGATGGGCAAAGGGTGTAGAGAGCGATAATGGGCGTAACCCCTGGAGTATCGAGGATGGACAAAGGGTGTAGAGAGCGATAGTGGGCGTAATCCCTGGAATATCGAGGATGGACAAAGGGTGTAGAGAGCGATAATGGGCGTAACCCCTGGAGAGGAGAATCGAGGATGGGCAAAGGGTGTAGAGAGCGATAATGGGCGTAACCCCTGGAGAATCGATGATAGGCAAAGGGTTTAGAGGGCGATAATGGGCGTAACCTCTGGAGAATCGAGGAAGGGTCCAAGAGGGTAGAGAGCGATAATGGGCGTAACCCCTGGAGTATCGAGGATGGACAAAGGGTGTAGAGAGCGATAGTGGGCGTAACCCCTGGAATATCGAGGATGGACAAAGGCATTTCATCGAAGGTTTCTTTATTATTTACAGTGGGTTGTACGAATTTGCAGCAACTATCGTTTCAAATGGTGACCAGAAAAATCTGGACGCTGAAATAGTCAAGAACGGAAATCGATTAGCACGCCTTCATTCGACCATCTATGGATTTGACCAGGGGACACAGGTAGTCATCGTCCAATGTGAAGAGGGCCAGCGTGTCTGGGTACGCCATTTTGGGACTGCTGATACCCCCGTTTTGCCTGGTGGATACAGCACATTTGCCGGCCATCTTATCCACATCGACTAATAGATGTGACGTCATTCATGCGTTAAATACATCATGGACCTTCGATATGGTGTTTACATTATTGTATTTACGAGTAAAATGTTTCAGTTATAAGAATGGGATTTGTGTAATTATATATCTTTATTCACTTTAGCACGATGACTGATTTACCAAACACAACAAATATCTTGTCCTGGAGAATTTGCACACGAGAAGACAGTTTCAGTAACGTTCCTTAAAGAGATATTTCCGTCCAAGTTGCAAAATTTTTGGCTGTTCTGTATCTTTTAAAAACTCATTTTAATGACTTTAAAAACTATTGTTAGCATCAAAATGCATCTCTCCCGTGGTCAGTTTAGACAGGTGATATTGGTGGGAATACTTCTAGTCAAACCGTCTAAATATAGTGCATTGGGTAATCCGGACCTAAACGTCACTGGATCATAAATTTTACGCAGAGCGCTTTCCCCTTAAAGTTTCTGCTAAGGTTACAATTTCATCACTTCAATAGGGTTATTTTCAGTTGGTATTATATATGTATATATTATACACAAATGTCTGTACGGCTTCCGCAAACCTGTCATGACTCAATCAGGGCAGCGCGAGCGTTTGTAAATCGATCTCGCCAGATCTATAGAGAATTTCCGCAAAATAAATACTATGTTTGTTTAAGTGTGCGGTTTCCCTATACATAAATAGATGGTTTTGTACAGTTTTCTTCAAAAGCATCCTATGGAATCCTAACTTGGTTGTAATGCCTCTCTAACTTGAGGTTCATTTTAAGAGAGCATTACAGATATACATTTAAAATATATTCTTTTACCAGCATTGCCTTCCTCTTACGAATTCCTATATGTAGCCAAACCATATTGGTATAAATTTGATAAACCTCCATGCGTGTAAAGTAACCTGTGTTGTATAAGGTGGGGTTATTTCCCTTTGATTTTCCAGATATTTGGAATACGCTGTCCGAATGGTAATTTAGTAAGAAATAAGATAACAAGAAGGAGACATGTTATAAGTTTGAATGTCCTATTAATCCTCTCCTGCCAAGCATAACACCAGCTGCTACATAACATGGTGAAAGGGACAATGTTTACTAGATGGTCTGTGGTGGTAATGACGTCAAGTTAAACCTTAATCTCCCTATCTGCAAAAAGAAAGAAATAAGTTGGAAAATATGCAAAGACGAGCAGCGAAACAAATACCAGGAATGAAAGACCTAAACTATGAAAGCAGGCTAAGGATCCTTAAATTAACGAGATTGAGATACAGAAGATTAAGAGGAGATATGATTCAAGTATACAAATTAACACATGGAGGATATGATAGGGCTGTCGCTGAGGATTTCCTGACACAAAACAGTAACAAGATAACAAGAGGGCACAGTTTTCCACTATTAAAAAGAAGGAGCAGACAAAATCTGAGTAAGTATTCTTTCTGAGAACGGGTGGTAAACCACTGGAATTCACTTCTTACTGCCGTTTTAATGTCACCAACAATCAAAACTTTTGAATCTCGATCGGATAAACATTGGAGGCAAACTGAATGTGTTCATAATCAGTTTTAAGAAATTTTCATGATGACGTCATAATATTACGACGTAGATAGTGGTATTGTCTTTAATTATTTTTCGAATAATGTTGGCTCTGTTCTCCACCATCTTAGTTGAAATATGATATAATATGTATGTATATTGTAACCCTATATGCTGTTGCATACGGAATAAAATAAAATTGTAAAAAAATAATCATGAACTATACAATAACACACTGATCCATATTCGGGATTCTAATTCCTTTTAACTCTGATCTGGATATACAGGCTTAATAAGCCTGCGTCCAGTATATTATTATCATTATTATTATCAAGATCTATGCGAAGCGGTGACGGTCAACTTGGCGAAATACTTGGTTTGAATAGGTCTGGTGAAAAAGTGCATTATTTCTAAACGACTTTCGCTTCGCAGATGTTAAGTGTCTGTCCCCGGTGTTATTGTTCTCAACTCTCGTTTCATGTAAATTGTTACCGTCTTATGCATTTTTGGTCTATAATCTGTTTACCATCTCGTCACACTATTTTCTACCTTAGTCTACATAGGATTATAGTACCGCCGAAAATGTTGGTCCTTGTCTTCCTATCTCGAACGTCTGTACTACTAGGACGTTCCACACTTGTTTTGTCTGATGAAGTTGACTGTGTAGTCATCGAAACGTCACACACTAATTTTCTACTGGTTGTGTTATAAGATGAAGGTGACCGTTTAGTCATCGAAACGTCACACTCTAATCTTCTACTGGTTGTGTTATAAGATGAAGGTGACCGTATAGTCATCTAAACATCACACTATACTCTCCTACTGGTTGTGTTATAAGATGAAGGTGACAGTGTAGTCATCGAAACGTCACACTCTAATCTTCTACTGGTTGTGTTATAAGATGAAGATGACTGTGTAGTCATCGAAACGTCACACTCTAATCTTCTACTGGTTGTGTTATAAGATGAAGGTGACCGTGTAGTCATCGAAACATCACACTATACTCTCCTACTGGTTGTGTTTTAAGATGAAAGTGACCGTGTAGTTATCGAAACGTCATACTCTAATGTCCTGCTGGTTTTGTTATAAGATGAAGGTGACCGTGTAGTCATCGAAACATCACACTCTAATCTTCTACTGGTTGTCTTATAAGATGAAGGTGACAGTGTAGTCATCGAAACGTCACACTCTAATCTTTTACTGGTTGTGTTATTAGATGAAGGTGACTGTGTAGTCATGGAAACGTCACACTATACTCTCCTATTGGTTGTGTTATAAGATGAAGGTGACCGTTTAGTCATGGAAACGTCACACTCTACTCTTCTACTGGTTGTGTTATAAGATGAAGGTGACCGTGTAATCATCGAAACGTCACACACTAATCTTCTACTGGTTTCGTTATAAGAACAATAAGATGACCGTTTAGTCATGGAAACGTCACACTCTACTCTTCTACTGGTTGTGTTATAAGATGAAGGTGACCGTGTAGTCATCGAAACATCACACTCTAATCTTCTACTGGTTGTCTTATAAGATGAAGTTGACTGTGTAGTCACCGAAACGTCACACTCTACTCTTCTACTGGTTGTGTTATAAGAGGAAGGTGATCGTGTAGTCATTGAAACGTCACACTTTAATCTTCTACTGGTTGTGTTATAAGATGAAGTTGACCATGTAGTCATGGAAACATCATACTCTAATCTTCTACTGGTTGTGTTATAAGATGAAGGTGACTGTGTAGTCATCGAAACATCACACTATACTCTCCTACTGGTTGTGTTATAAGATGAAGGTGACAGTGTAGTAATTGAAACGTCACACTCTTACCTTTTTACTGGAGGTGTTATAAACGATTCTTTTCAAATGTGTTGTGTTCCTATAATTTTAATCCCACTTTCATTAGCAAGGGAAAACGAAGTAAATTCGCTCGGCCGTTTTTACAGGCAATAATTACAGCCACCGTGCTACTAGTAACATCAGTTGTCGACGGTTTAAATAACAAAAAGTACTGAGCCATATAATTACTTAAAACTTCTGTTCTACGAAAAGTATTTCACTCGATAGACATGTCTTACATCGATCCCTAAATAATCCCTCCATAATGTGTTAGTTCTATTTATACATTCAATATCATGTAATATTGATGAAAGATAGCAAAATATATATCCTGTCCTAATTTCATAGATAGATCTATCTTTCTCAAATGTTTGAGGGCATTTATATTTTCGCTTGTGGAAATGAAATATTTGCCTATAGACGTTTGGTACGTGTTAATGTTCTACAAACGTCGGCCTTACAGATAGTATACGTCATCAATGGTCACCACTGTATAGAGTGAAATATATATAGCACTTGTTGATAGTTCAATACATGTTTATGACAGGGTGTGGATATTTGTGACAATTCATAGGGATCGTGTAAATATCAAGTATTGTTTCAGCGCCGGAGTTCTGATGTACTCATTCAGTGTTAACTGTACATAGTCTGATAGCCATGATTAATTCAAGTCATTTTATCACCGCAAACTAATTATATTGATAATTATTGTTTCAAATATTATAACATGTGTTTCATCTCAATGGATGAAAGTAAATTACCTCTGCAATGTAGGTTGTAGTTTGTAAATGATATAAAGGTACCACGTGACTTTATTAACTTATGGTTTCGAAAATGATTGTATTTTGCATTTAAGCGTGGGAATTGGACGTTTGCATTTATGCATTTGTTTTTCTTTTTAATTATCATCATTCAAAAGTTTGAACCTACAGACCTACATCATACATGACATCGAGATGCATATTGTACCTCATTTCAACCTTGAAATCTGTCGGCAAAAAACCAAACAAGAAATAGTCCTAGGATTGTTGACCACACCCATCGGCTAACACTGTCTACGATCTACCTGCTAACGTCTTCACATGTGACAGACACGTTTTTGTTTACTTTCTGAATCACTTATATCCTGAATTGACCTCTTCACAAACAAATCACAGGGATTTGGCGCGAATTAACAACCTTCGTTATGTTTTTGCATATCTACACAGAGGTCAGACTTTTTGCAAAGCTCCGGCGGGATATTCGTGGGTTTTTTTTTTATTGTATTTTTGTGCTGACTCAGCCTTCCCGCCGTAGCGAACTTTGTCACCTCACGTACGCTCTTGTCCCAGCCCACACGATACGTCGTGTTGGTCATATTGAAATATTGATATTTCATAAGGGATTTAATTTCCTATATTCTGTATACATATCTTATAAATCCTTAAACTGATAGGCTTAGGATATTAAGCTTATTATCAGCACAAACACATGACATAGAATCTCGATTTCTCCTCAAATACATACGAACGAATGTTGAATGCTATATAGGGATGTGTAGTTTCTATAAACCTTTAAACTTGGTAAGTTAATCAGGGATTTTACTTCGGTCAAGATGCTATCATGTGTTTCATCGTAACGTCCGTCCGTCCATATGTCACTGTCGTGG